CTATTCAACAGTTTACAATTCATAAAATACAGTCGGGGAAACATGACAAAAATGGCTTCCTCATGAATACGCTTGAATCCAATCATTTGAATCAAATTGTAAAAAAAAACTTCACAAAGCCTGGGTTTGCCCATAGAGCTATACGTGCATTAAACTACCTCCTGCTTGGTTATTCATGTTTGTTAGTCAGCTTTTGTATGGCTATTTGCAAACTTGCATTTATATTCAAAACCGATGCAAAAATGAATGTGCCTGAAACTGAAATGCATCTGAAAGTAATCCACACAAAGGAATGAGGTGGGCCAGGTTGACGTAGGCGTAGGGGTATAGTTGCCTTGCCTTCCACCTCTGTGACCCAGGTTCGATTCCTGCCTGGGCCAATATGTGGATTGGGTTTTCAATCCCTGCTCGCTTCCACGGGTTTTCCTTACAATATTTTTCTTGGGTTTTCCTCGCACATCTCAAACTGTAATTTCTTCACATTGTCTTCTCTTTACTGGGCCCCACGGGATACCAATGGATTCTACTGAATAGGCTACCCAGTTAAAATAAGGATTAAATAAATATAAATAAATAAATAGAGGATTTTGTGCTTCGTTGTAACTTCATGTAGCTCTGTGGGTTTATCAAACCTTTGGCTTTGTCTTGAGTGTTGCCTTCAGGCTCTGTGATTTTAAACCCAAGCAGCTGAATTCACAAAATAGTGCATACCTTATGCCATGCATAGGGTTCTAAGAAAGCAACACATTTGTTGTACATGTACAAGCTGCACAATAAATGTATGATAAATTTCACGAACATTATTACAAATGGAAAGTCCACGATTTCCACGACAAATTATGGCGTAGCTTTTGCAATCATTTTAGATGGAGTAAATTATACGCTACTGCATAAAGTTTCATGAAATGACTTGCAGAGACTCTTACTCAATGTGGGTCCACACTTCTACTCCAGGAACATCAAATCTTATAAGATTAAATTTCAGAATATTTCCACCAATGTGCCCATGTTGACATCGAAATGAGAATAACAAACCTAAATTACAGGCACAGTAGATGATGCTGCTCCTTCAGTTTCTTTCGAAGATGTAGCCAATGAACACCACAAGTTTCTTATAATATGGTGTATCTCAAGCTGAATGTAAACCACAAATCCTGAATTAATCGTCCAATCTTTGTTTCTTTCCTGGAACAGATATCGTGGACAGGCTTCAGAAGCTCAGATGTAAGTGCATTTTCGTAATTTCAGGAGCAATTGAAGATGTAGTGGAGATAGACATAGAAGGCCTGTAACCATTCGAAACAGTATATGATTGCTGCAACTGCTAGAAATATAAACCTCCGTACAAGGCATGGATTTGAACTATGGGCAAGTTAAAGTACTTGGCAACTTTATTTAACACTTGTTGAGATGAAAATGGACGGTGAAAAAGTTTTCCCTTGTCAAAACTGGGGCTAGACTTTTTACCCCCTTCCTCCCTGCTTCAGGGTTACAGCCCAGAATGCCAACTTCTCTTTCAGAGAAGGAACTTCTTTGTGAAAAAAATTACTAAAACTTGAAATGAGGTTCTGAAACTTTCTAAAAATTTGAACACCATCTGCAGTATTCTATTTATTTTACCAAAGAATAAACAGTACTTTGAAACCCAAGCTACATTGTAGTGTCCATTGCCATGGTAATGAGTGCTAGTTGCAGAGATAATCTTTTTATTTTTGGTCTGCCATCTTTGCAGCTTCTTTGGAGGAAACGTGGTGTTAGTGATGAGGTTCTGACCCATGATCCACGGGGATAGCGAATGAGGTCAACAAGCATCCCAGCGTAATTATCAACTCATTTCTAAGGTTTTTAATAAGCAATTAGACAGTTGATAAAACCTATATTGTACTTGGCGCTATCCCATTGACTATGATAAAATGAATCCTGCAAACTTCTGACATTTTCGGAAAAATGAGGCATTCCTCCTGTTTTAGTCATGTGATGACATTTGTATACATTTATTTTGTAAAGATACTAGAGGCAACCTGACCCAAGATTCATAGTTAGAATCTTTTGGCCCGGGAACTAGACTATGCTCAATCAAGAAGGGGTCAATCAAGTTCGTGGCTAGAACTTGAACAGAATTTCTCCTTTGTGAAAAACTTGAATTGAATTTTCTACAATTAAGTATCATAATGATCATAGTACTTATAAAAAAAATACAAACTTTAATATATATTATATAACCTTAATTTGACTACTTTTAACCTATTAATCTTAAATTATATGCTACAACATTTAGTTGTAAAACTAACCTTGCAATTGCTTTTTTTTATGTACTGATCATGCAAACCTATTTTTTTGGTGCTATCTGCAGTCTCTAACACTGGATGTTATTAGTATTTTTACGTGAACAGCAATTCCATGGTAACTCGCGTTACATTTTACTGGTGGGGGGGGGGGGGGGTGTTACTTTCCATTAACTCTTTGCTATTCTATAAATTCCAAGTATTTAGGGCAGGGTTCGAAATTAGCGGTAGCCCGCTAGCCAAATGCTAGTCAAAACAGCGATGGGCCAGTCAAACTATTCTTTAAGTAGCCCGGCTGGCGAGTCAATCATTATTGGGATACGGCAAAGATGAATGGACGGCAAGAGATAAATGATAATGATATGATAGGATAATTTATTGTCCACAATAAGCATGCGGAAATTTGCTTTCCACCAGCACTGCAATTTAAAACATAGAGATAGTACATACAGATACTTATACATTTGCAATGTTGTCCATTTGCAAATATATCAAACACTAATTTGAACTTATGACTAACAAAAACTTAATTAACAATATGAGTAACCAATAGAAGTGAATTAATACCATTGTTATTTATTTCTATATTACATACTATAATATAACAACATACACGAAAAAATGTCTAATTCTATGACTGACTGCGGCCTAAGTTAACAGTTACAAAGGGTATAGAGAAATATTTATGACCAAGGGTTGAGATATCGCTTGACAAGTTGTTTAATTTCAGGTAGAAATGAGATTTGGGCTTCCAACTGCAGAAGGGGTTGCTCTTGAGTACAGGCAAGTTGGATTGGTTTGGGGATCAAAAGGTCAAGGTCACAGTCAGGGTCATCATCCGTAGGTTTTTCACAAATAAGGAGCAGGTAAAAAACAAACAAACAGTTTTCTTCAGTTGGCTGGCCGGGCCGGCCAGTGTTGGAAAAATGTCAACATACCAGATATCAGGATTTTACAGAATGCTTAGACTGTCATTCCATAGTCCAGTAAATAATTTCGTGATTACTTGATCATTTTGTGTTTTGGTGTTTGCAAATATTGTATAATCTTAGTTTAAGGTACCATGAAACAGGTGTAATTATTGTTACTACTATTATTATAATTATAAATCATAATTTGACTCATTTTTATTGAACTTTTTTAAACATGAAATTATTGAACTAATTTAAACATGAAATAATCTTCAGATATACATGTATACATGTATAGCAATAACCTTACTCTTTAACTGTTTTTTTCTTTACTGATTATGCAAACATATCATATTTGCAATCACTAAGCTCTGGGTATCATAACACAATGTTTTGCAGAGCAGGATTATATTTTGATATTGTCTTTGAAATGAAAAGGTTTCATACTATGCATCATTTGCTTGAATAGAAGGTACTCATATTTTTTGTTTATTTTTTGATGGCAGATTTTTTTTGGGGTAAACGTGCAACTAGTTAAATATTTTCTTACTGGGCATTGTTTCTTGAACTCTAGTAATCCTGTCAAGGATTTGTTTTGATAGTTAAGGATTAAAGAGATAGAGGCAAAAACAAATAGCCTTTCCTTTATAAGGTATGATGACTTCTTTCTCTTATCTCCTCTTTGAAGAAAAACTAATGTAGCTACACTGGTGTGAACTGGCAAGGGAAAACATGAGAATCCCCCCCCCCCCCCCCCCCCCGAAATAGAAATGAATAAAATCTAAGTGACAGAGCGCAGCCATTTTTGTTCATGTGCATTATGCATCCTGCACGATACAGAACTCATTATTTTGTTAATTCCAAAGCCCAACTCGGGGGGGGGGGGGGGGGGTGACAGAAACGCCCTTTTCAAGAGTGGAAGACCGTCGTACGCGCTCGGCTCACAGCCCCTTGTGCTCCCCCGCCCGGCCCATATAGCTAGCTACACAGTGACGCACCCAGGATTTGGTTGGGGGCTCACATTTTTTTTCTCATATTTTTAGAATTCCTTTTTTTTTTAAATTTTGCCAATAATTTTTGGCCGCAGAATTTTAAATTTTTTTTTAGGGGCGGACTACGTTGGTGTCGCCACTGACACCGTACCCCTATTATATACTACTCGAAAATAGGCCACATACATATCACCAAGGTCAAATCGTGGGACTCGAAAAAATAATTGACAACCTCTTCGGGAAGGGGGGGGGGGGGGGGCTTAAGCCCCCGAGGCGTCCCCCCCCCTTGGGTGCGCCACTGTAGCTACGTGCATTAATTGAAAACGTGATTGCCCCGCCCCTCTTTCTAACTCGGGCAGTCCAAGGGCGGATCCGGGGGGGGGGGGGGGGGGGGGGGGGGGGCCAAAGGGGGCCATGGCCCCCCCCCAAAAAAAGAAACCAACTTTTTTTTTTATGTGACATTGCAATAAAGGCAGGCAATGAGTACACCACCATCTTTTCCTCAAAAAAACATTGGTTAAAGTGGTCAGAAATTGCCTCAGATCGCACCACAGAGCATCTAGAATCCAAAATTTTTTCGGGGCCCTTTAAGCGGGCCCCGGACCCCACGCCGTAATTTTTTGACCCACTTTTTGGGGAACCCAAAATTTTTTTGCCCCCCCCAAAAAATTTTGTTCTGGATCCGCCCTTGGGGCAGTCTGTAAAGTTCGCCCACAAGAAATTAGAAGAGGGCGCCCTTCAGATCTGGTAGCTGGTGTCGATGTCGCGCATATGCACCAGATATGCAGACGTGCAGACACCAAACCGCACAAACCGCACAATGAAGCAATTTACATACAATAACACGGCCAGCTGATCGGGGTGATTGACTGTTGCCCAATTTCCTTGGAAAGAATTGCAACACTCGCGCGAGAGTTAGCACCATTCATTGGAACCAAAGAAGGTGGGTAGATTATGCTCTAAGAGACAGGCATGCAACTTTTCTTCTGGTCTGCTGATTTCCTCGTTTTTTACTTCTCATGAATGCCATTACAAATTGAAAAACACTGTCATGACCACTGTTGTAACTTGTTTGTACAAAGTCTTGTGTGGTTTGGAATTTCCTCGTTTTTTCTAAACTCCCAGTCATGCCAGTCGGATGCCTGCTGTAAGAGAATTTAAAAACAAATTGGCATATATACCTCGATAGCTGCCAATAATACCCGTATTTATGATGCATAGGCCTATATCATGTGTATATGTGAATTATCCAAAAATATTCCTAACAAAATTGGAAATATTTCTCAGTCCCTACTCCCAGATTCATGTCTTATCGTCATTTTTGCAATGACTGACCTTTATTGAGATGATATATGAAGAAAAAAGTGGCATCAGGTTGCAACATTTTCCCCGATATTTTATGTGATTGTGTGGAAAATGAATTGGAAACAATGTTGTAACCTGACAACCAATTCAGCGGTTGTGTACAAAGTCTATGGAGAGTTGAGTGCATTTTCAAAGTATTTCCTTACATTTACAAGTTACAAAATTGGAAATGTTTCTCATTCCTAGATTTATATGTCGTATCATTTTTGCAATGAATGACCTTAATTGAGATGATAATCGTCAGACCCCCTAAAATGACGAGGAGATGTTTTGACGCACTCACATTTAATTTGCGTCGGACAATTCGCGCACGTTGCAAGCGTTTATCGCGTCAATTATGGTGACTCGAGGATAATGAAGAAAAATGTGGCGTCAGGTCGCAACATTCTTTCCAATGAATTTTTGCATACATGCATGCAATTGGAAACAATGGATAGGAACTCCGCGGAGATCATTGTATCTCCAAAAAATGTTTGACTTAATACGTAGTGGCTATCGGTACAGCAGCCATAACTCGGTTTCATCTGCTATTATTTACGGCATTGCAGAAACATCATCGCGCATCTATGATCTATAGCTGCCCTACCAACCAGAGTGCTTGTGTAGCTAGCTCGATTGGTTCAAATGCTTCCATACCGAAGGTTAGGGATTAAATCCGTCATGTCCGTGATATGCCAGCATGGCCCCCCTTTTTCATTATATTCTTTTAATAGATTCATTTACATTTATGTTTTTAATCAATCCCCTTTTTATTGAACTTTTCGAAGTAGATTTCATTTTCTTCTTCGGGTAGCTGGAGTTACCCAGCCCTAAATTTTATCATTGGGTTGTCATTTAGGGCTGGAGGAAGTTTTTCACTTGGACCTGCAGCATTGGCAAGTCCAAACAAAATGTCGAAAATGTGCGATTGTGTCCAAGTAACACACCAATTTCAACTAAGACTCACCTAAACCTTGCCTGGCATAACCACTACACAGGTCCTTCAAGAAAAAAACCATTCACGATGAAGATTCAGCCTACAAGTGCAGTGAAAAAAGGAGGTAGCCGATCAAGCTGTGCGGCCATGATGATGCCCGGAGTAGATTTTAAATAGGGAAATAAAGTCCGAGAACCATTCGGTTGATATTCTGGCTCTAAGAGCCAAAGATCCTGATGTTGAACACTATTAGGTCAGGGAACTAGATGATTGACTACCGTAACAATAGCATCTGCCAAATGATTTAATCGTGACGTACATGTTTCTGAATTTACAATGTAGATTTGAATTTGTTCTTTGCTATATTTTACCAAGGCTGTTCTTAGTTTCACTGTGTGCATTGCAATACACCGACTGACCAACAGGCTAGAATGAAGGTGCTAGCTGTACTTGCAGTCATCGGCACATTTTGTGCCGTACCCGGTAAGAATATTGGAGCATATGTCTGCTCAATACTGATCCCCCAAAAGCCAGAATTCGTTTTTGCTCACAGTCGATGTTGCACAATATTTGTCATATTTTGGAATGCTCAATTTTCATTTATTATATTTGTAGCACCTCAATGACCTCATCAGAATATGGCATTTTCTCTATCACTCAGTTTGCTGGTCTTGTGGAGAAATGATTTAAAACAGTTTTCTACACATTCAAAACCTCCTCGTGGTTTTTAAAATCTCAGGTTGTCATTGCCAAACCCATAATATATGTCTGCAGTTTTAAACAATCATTTATACATATGTAAATCTGTTTATAGCCTTCAGCATTATTATTGCAAGGTACATGTAGAAGGTTTGTTTCTTTTTCTGTCTTTATATTTGATTTTAATATCCACACTGGGGCTGATACTCCAATTCATAAGAATAAGCCATTTGCGAATTAAATTTGAATAAATTCTGGAAAGCTGACCTAATGCTTTGCCTGTTCCAACTTTGCATTCTACAGACCAAAGAGACTGTTATTCAGGACAAGCTTTATGCTAGCAACCCCCAGCTCTGTCATGCCTTTGTGCCATTCTCAGTGTTTGATTGTGAACAATGTATTGGTGCTGAGCGTCTTCTACGTAACTATGCAAGAACTTGCCCAGAATCATGCGATTAGCCCCCCTCCCCCCAAATTGTAGTTATGCTTCCGTTTACCTTTCCTATCCTATTTGACAGCCACAACCCTAATTTTGTTTTTGGAAAAATGAGGGGAAAAAAACTGAAAACCATCAATTACTACCTTTTACCCTTGACTACATGCAGAAACCTCTAGTAATGATCATACATAAAAAATAGTGTCTTTGGTCTGGAGAATTCAGAGTTAAAATGTGCCAAGCATTCTGAGCAAGTCAGTGTACCAGATGTTTTTCAAATTTTAATCCCAAAGGGTATAGGCCACTCGCCAATGGCTTATTAGGGAGCTACTCCAATCCTCAAAACCCTCCAGCGTACAGGAAACTAGTTGTAGATTATTTGTAACTGCCGTGGGCATGGGCTAGCCTCCCTAAATCCTGCAAAATCCTCCAAACCTCCTTGTTTTTGGTTTTGAAATCTCAGATTTTCATTGCCGAACCCCTATCAGTCTGCTTAAGCACACGTGGCATTTCTCTCCACAAATCTATGGACATTTGGTTATCAGTGTTAATATAATCTCTGACTCTTGATACAAATATGTGGACTTCAGTCTCTGCACTAACAGACACTGAGATAAAACACTCAATTTTAATCTAAAACTTAAAAAAGGCCAGGGTTATGGGAAGTATTATCTGGGTTTAAGGTTGAGCTTGTTTAATATTCCGATTATGAATGATAGGCCTACTGAATGAATTTAGACTTAGAGGTTGGTTCCACAACACATGTGTGTATCACAGCGACAAAGAGAATTTAACAAAATACACACACATTTGATTCTACATTACACCCCTATGATGCAAATTGTCATCCTCGTTTCAAGTTTTATGCATGGCAACTGTAGTTACAATGTGACTTTCTTAAAGTAAAAGAACAGCATACTGTTTGGCCAGCTAATATTAATATAATATTGGATGGCATTGAGGGGGACACAAAAATAAACTGCATGAGTTGTAACAATATTGCACAAGTCAAAGACGCGTGCAATATTGTTGTAGCGAGTACAGTGTCCGCAGTCCGCCCCCTCCCCCTCCCGGCTGAGAGATGGTCAAAATAACCCGGCCCTTTAAGGGGTAAAGGAAATCCTATGATTGCTGAGCTTCTAGCCCTCACACTAATTAGAAGTCTGTCTAATCGAACCGGTTCCTCATGAGAAATCTAATTTCTGGGTAAATAATTTCTGTAAATGTTGCATTATTTTTTACATACACATGTTAGCCTTATTGATCATTTCTACCCAACCGTTAGGTGCTTGTTTAAGCTATGAATTAGGCAAGGTGTACAGCTACAACTATGTGACTGAAGTACACATCAACGAAGCTGTGCCCACAGGCAGTGATGTTGGCTTCAAACTGTCATCAGCTGTTGATCTTGCCATTGTCTGGCAGAGTGGGTCTGAGCAAGTGGCCAAATTAAGCGTGAGTCAAGACATGCTCCTTATTCGCTTCATGCACTTTAAATTTGCACCCAGGGTTCTGGTTAGAGCTAACTGATGCAATTTAATGGTGTTTAATTTTGGGTTATGTTAATTTCAGAGTGGGTTGCTTTCAATTACATTATCACATACGTCTGTGAAGGGCAAAAAGCCAGACAAAGTAATTTGAGATTTTTGGTTGGGGGGGGAGGGATAAATTCCCCAAAGAAAAATTGGGTGAACCTAGGTAATAAAAGGTGCTAAAACTTTGATAAATATTGTTGATGTACCCTAACATGGTACGGCCCCAATGTGGCGCGCTTTGAGTTTTCGCCACTTTCCTGATTAGAGCAAAATTATTACCTCAAATTTCACAGAAAGTGAGACTTCATCAAGCTCTAAACAGTCCAGTTCATAAATCTTGCGTTTACGTACCCGCTACAAAGTTCAAGGGATATTCGATTTTGGCGTGATTTTCCAATTTTTTTTTGTGCACAATGAACCCTTTTAAAATGCGCCCAAAAATAAGAAAACAATTTGCTGACAAACTTGTAGTTATGTATGTGAACTGAAAACATAATGATTTATCAGAATTTATCAACTTCAAAGAATTTCTTAAATTTTAAAGTGGGATTTTCTGAGATTTGTTCAAGTGCATCACATTAGGGAACACTTGGCCAAATTTGTGCCCGATTTTCACACCGTTTTTGAATTTCGGGCTTAATTTGATGACACTAAAATTGTTCACCGTGGTTTAACAGCAAGCATTATTAAGGTAATAGTACCAGTATTTAACGGAATGAATTTAAAGTTTTTCCTACAAAGAGGTTTGGCAACATTGTGTGAGGAAAGTCGGGGAAACGTCAAAGTGCGCCGCGTTAGGGAACACCACTATGTTGATGTCTGAGATTATAGTAGTTGTACTTTATGTTTCAGTGTAATTACTTTGTTTGATCACCTCTTGTTTTTCTTTCCGCACAGCTGAGAGATGTAAGCCTTGCCCATATTGCTGACAGGGATGATACAGAAAACACCTTCAAATCCCCTCCCACAACACTGATGGTTGCGTCCTCCCAGCCTGTGTACTTTGTCTGGAACGCAGGGAAGGTCACACAGATTTATGTCAGCGACAGCGAATCAGAGGGCTCGGCTGATGTCAAGAAAGGCCTGATTGGCTTGTTTCAAATGCAGGATGTTGAAGGGGAAGTGACAGAGGTAGGCCCTACTAATTTATTTCCTCATACATGTAGTCACTTAAAAATCTGCTGGATAATTAATGATTATATTAATAATTGGTCAGGCACATATATCCATCAGTGGCTCAATTTATACAAAAGCCTGAAATTTGGAAGAAAGATTCATATCTTTGTTTACTGATAATGTCATTCTCTCAGATTCAAAAAGTCTGAACTCAGACAGAAGTCTGAACAATCTCGTTGGGAGGTGCATGGACCCCTACTGGAAGCCTGTGCTCTCCTTGTAACCCCCAAAGAAAAACCATTGGTGCTCCCTCTCATTACCTGCTCTTTAGCATCCAAAGCTGTTAAGAAGTCGTCTTAATTGCCTCCCTTTAGAGTTGACAGCTTGATGCTACCATTTTGGCATTGATGACTTGAGTACAGTTGATTTTTAATTCATTTTTGTGTCTGATTTTATTACCTGAGGTGGATGCATCTGGAGACTGTGCAGTCTCTTACACCAAAGTTGACACCAAAATATTGAAGCTCAAAGATCTTGGCTCCTGTCAAACTGTCCAATCAGGCGGCTTCTCACATCCTAAAAGTGGCTTCGGTATTGATGTCCAATCAGAAGCCTCGATAACCTGTAACCTCTCAACGGATAAGAATATCATCCAATCAGCTGTGAGCTTTGAAAAGTGGAAGACATTTGTGAATATCCGAACTGAGCTGTCCACATCGGTGACTGCAAGGTATTGTTCTAGTAATGTGTGTTACAAATGTTGATAATATTCTCAAATTCATGTTACAAACAGTGTACTCGCCTGCAAAACCATATTTCCACTGGACATTTTTTCAGTTTAATTTTGGCATGCTTTGCATTTTAACACAATTGTCATTTGTTTCCAGTCAGAGCCTTGCTCTGCAAAACAGTGATAGTGTTGCAGAGACTCTCCAAGGTACAACAGCAGAGGGCGCCATCACAGGCTTAGGGAAGCTCCGCAGGACATCGTGGGCCAGTGATGAAATGGGACAACAGTGTGGAGACGGTTGTAGACCGGTAAGTAAAAGTATCAACATGAGTGCTTTCAGCCTGTGACTTTTCCTGCAAGATCCCCCGTGAGGATTACCAGCAGACCCAGTTTCATGACATTTTGCACATGCCATGAAGCTATTAAAGTTAGTGGACCATTTTCATGTTTCCAAAAAGTAACTGACCACATTATGGTTTAAAGGTATACTTGGTTAGAAGATAGTAATGACACTAAACTTCCTGTGAAATTATTCCTTTGAGCATTCTGTCGTTTTGAAGAAGACAGTAAAAAAAAGGTAATTTTCAAAGATGTGTCAAGTGACACATTTTTGGAAATTTCCATTTGGAGTTGGTTTGTAACTTGGTGAATCTGTGAATGGGTGCAAGTGTTGATAAAATGCAGACGCGTGTGCGGCTGCTATTATTTGTTGGTTCAGTGTGTGACATCACGTAGCTAGATTCGGCTAAATGAGAATCCTGTCCCGAATGCTGATTTTGGAATTGCGTCGCATATGAGAGGGCGCAATTCAAAAAATGACATTGAAACAGTGAACTGAAATCAAGATCCAGAATATTGTGCATTCTCGAAATATACAGCATTCACAGAGCTAAAAGTTCATCAGGTTAGTTAAGCATCCATCTTTAGATTTAGAGTGCTTTTGTTGCTTCAGACGAAAAAAAGTTCACAAAATGATAAATGGTCCATTCTACCTTTCAACTAAAAAAATATTTGATTAGCAACAGTCTTTTACCTGCTAGCAAATCAGCTGATCTTCACCCGACTTTTGCTTGGCACATGAATATGCTAAACATTATTTCCGCTTAGCAGCCATGATAGCTCAAACTTGGCAACGTCACTTGGGACTTGTGACATATAAGTTGAAAAATGCTACACTGTACTACCCTGTCCCCCACTCCCACACCCCCCCCCCCCAAAAAAAAACAAATCCCTATGTTTTTCATTCAAAACAAGTGTTGTTTGGTCCAATACACAGCCAAGATATGACACTGTATCTTCTATTCTGGCATAATGTCCCAATTATGACTGTAGCTAACTTGAGACTCATACTTGCCTCTAAAGCAATTCAAAACATGGAGATCTACTATATCTCAAGTGCTCAAGAGACGAAGTACGGTAGAACGCCATTATAACCAACACAATGGGGAGCATGAATGAATGAATGAATGGTTTATTTTAATTGTACTCCTCACTGCCAGTGGCAGAATTGAATACAATTTACATTAATAAACACATCAATATTAGTTAATACGTACATTAAATAGGGAAAAAATATAGAACTGAATACAAATTGAGAGAAAAAGGTTGTTTATCAAACTTAACGGTAAAATAAGCTGGAATAAAGAATAGGGAACATGAAGGAGATAAGGAAAGGACAATTGAATGGGGTTTGGATGGGGGAAAAGAGAGCAGAGGGGTGAATTACACATACAAGCAGGAGATTTGATTTATACATTTACAATATTACTAACGATCATCAGTAAAAATCATCAATCATAAATGATAAAAATCATCAATCATAAATGATTGTTATAGTGGTCATTCGTTATAGTGATTGTGCTTTATAATAGAAGTTACTAGTTCAGAACCAAATTATAGCGGTGTTCGTTATAGCTGCAGTTTACTGTATAGGTTTCCAACATTTTCAAGGACCTTTAAAACCATGGTTATTCTTGATAACGAATGTTTTGGTTGATTTTGTAGCTGTCTGAGGTGGTAGCTGAAGCAAAGGATGGACTGACAGAAGACGCGGTAGCCAAGACCAAGTCAGCTATGGCTTACCTGGATGTCCTTCAAGCTTTCCGCAACTCGGGGAAAGACGCCATTATTGACACGCTCAAAGATTTAGACAATATCCCTATAATGTGAGTTCTGGTTGATTAGTGAGCCATTGATGTGAAAATCAAAATCTGATTATTCATCTGTCGTAATTAAACCAAGGATTTGGCAAGAGTGCCTATGTCACTGCACAGCTTACAAACTTGAACAAAAAAGGGCCAAGGGGAAACCATCAGTTTTAAACTGACCAGGTAAATAGTGCAGATAACAATGCATTATTCATTGTCTCTTTTTTTGTCTGTTACAATTAATTAGTTTATGAGACATCTTGTTTTGATGGTTGGTATAAATTCATAGCACCCTTAACTGCAGTATCACCATCATTAACTGCTCCATTGGATTCATGAGGGAAACACTCAATCGAAGCAGATGAAGTAGTCAAGATGTCTGCACATCTAAAAAGGAAATAGCTTCAAATCATGTTAGTTGCTATCGGCGTGGCAGACGCCATGGCCTCTGTGTACAAACAGTAGAAGGTGCCTTTTTATCATTTGTTTGAAAGCTCCAGTGGGACACACTGGAACACTGTGTGTGCGCAATGGGTCACGAGCGTACGGCAGAAAGTACGCAAACCTGGTTTTATTCTGCGTGTGCATAAACAAGTTGCATCTTCGTGTGAGCGTCAGGCATTCCAAGTGGTAATGCATTTGAGTGTACCTCCTAGTGGTCTTCCCCAACTCTCCCTTTTTAACTGATGAGGATGTACTTGTGAACCAAAAACAAAACAAAAACAAAAACTAAAGAACTATGAGTGTGTTATTTGGATTTGTTTGTTGGTTGACAGAGCCCAGCTATTTGACGTGCTTGCAGCCACGCAGACACCCCCTGCCTGGGAAGCTACTCAGGAGGTGATAGACTTCACGGATGCAGATGCCGCTGAGATGCTGGAGAGGTTCCTGCTGACCATGGCTTACAACAACCACCCAACACAGGACCAGATCTCATGGCTGCTGGTAAGTCTCGCGGATGTTTCTTTAAACTGCTATCGTTGATTCATCAAAAAACTGACCCTTAGGCCAAAAACAAAAAGTCTTCGGTTCCTGGTATGGAGCTTGCCACAAAAGTGGTGCAGCGATGCAGCTTTTTTTTTTTACTGTTTTTTTTTTTCTTCAAATGTCGGCCGATGATTGCAAATGGTGCCCGACTAAATTTAGGGCAAAATAAATGGGCGCCCAGAGAGGCCACATGAAGCTTATACTTGATCGTAACCCCATCTAAAAATACGTTAAAATTGTGCAGCAGCAGGATTCCAGTCAAACCAGTGAGTTTGGCTGTTTTGAGACATCATCTTACATTGAAAAAAACTTTTTAATTTTGCCGATGCGCATGGCTACGGCAATGCGCGCGCATACCAGAAACCAAAGCTTTTTTTTATGGCCTGATGTTGTTACAGAGGAATGTGTGGGTTTGAATTTAGCAGTAAGACCGTGGCGATGTCATACTTAGACTTCTGTTGTCATCTTGTTTCATGTGTAGTAAATGAATAAACTGTCTGCTGTATTCTTTTATGATGATACATTTTTACTTTCAAAGGGTTTGCTTAAAGAAGACAAAGTTGGCAGTAAAGATGTCCGAGCAATGATGGCACTTACTATGGCTAAACTGGTCAACTCATACTGCTATCTGGGAGATGAGCAGTGCAACTCCCAGGTATGTTCAAGGAATCAGCAGACTTGATCTTGCCTTAACTCATAGAAGCTGGCCAAGTCAGTTAAACAGCGCCTCGTCTTTGAGCTGGTGTAAACTGTTCAACTTATGTTCAGAAAAAAGTTGTAAAAGCATTTGGAAATGAATCAGCTGTATATTCTTTGTTTCTAAAATGGTGTCCATTAAATAGGACCGGCCATGTGACTGCACATCCGAAAACCCCGAGCATTGTGAGCCGATATCGATAGAAAAACGACACATAATAAAGATTTGCTACATGTAATCACACAATTTATCTATAGAGCAGACACTAGTAGGTAAGAACAACATGAAATCTGAGTAAAATGAGGATTTGTGACGAAAAAAATACACTATTAGAATGAATTAAAAAAGAGATAGTGTATGTACCAAACAACGTGTCCATTTCATAGCAAGTTACAGTGGAGGCCATTCATGTACATGTATGTACATGTACATGTACGTGCAGATGACATTACTGTAGAAAAATCAGGAACCGTGCTTAACTTGAACGCCGGATGCTGCAACATTTTTCATCCATTCCTTGAGATTTGACTTAATGAGAGTTTACTGTTGTGGTAATAGTGTGCTCACTTGCAAATTCATGAAGAGGCAATAATTAAAAAAACACTTTGTTTTATAAATATCTAATTCTGTGAATATGCTCAGATTAAATTTCTCTACATGTGTGCTAAATTTCATTGCATTTCGTCGCTTTGCGGAATCCGCCTTCCCCCGTCTGTGAGATGGTCCCACCAAAAACGGCTCCCCTAGGTTAAGAAATGATAGGATAGCTCATGAAAGTTTCCTGATGAGCTCGGCGTTAACTTCTTCATTTTTTGCCTGATCAGGTGGTAAGCGATGCAATGGAATGGCTGCTGGCTGGAGTGAACTCAGAAGATCGCTTCCAAAAAATCTTGTGTCTGAATGCCTTAAAGAATGCCGTCCAGCCAAGCAGTATTGATACAATCTTGTCTGTGGCCGAGAATGAAGCTGACATGGACGTGGTTGAAGTAGCGCTGGATGCACTGCTGAAATTTGAAGCAAAGTATTTCACGCCGAAGGTAAAGGATTTAATGATAATCCCTTTCAGACTGGAGAAACTCAAGTCACTCTGTATTTCCTCCTTCAATTACGGGATCTTTTCATAAAGCACTTAACTGGACTTCCCGTGCAGTTCCAGTAAATTCCAGTAATTTTGGTAAAATTTTTTTCTCACTCACGAATTCATTCAGTAAACCCCTAAATTATAAACTGTGTGTAACTTCATTATTAAGTTATTATTTTATTTTATTTTATTTATTCTTATTGATATATTCCTGGTTATGAAACCAAGGATTCCTCAAAAGCGCCATAGGCACTGTAGCTCGCAAGCCTGAAGAAACCTGTAGAGAGGAGACGAGTACAAGGAGAATACCCCAGAAGAATATTCTGGGGAAACCCACGGAATCAAGTAGAGACTGAAAACCCAATCCAAATATATAGGCCCAAGCGGGATTCGAACCCGGGTCACAGCGATGGCGAGGAAGGTACCGCTACGCCAACCTGACTCCCCAAGTTTATTAATATTGGAAACTTGTTGTCTTGAATCATAGTTTCGAAACAAAAACTTGAAAAGGTTTATGTCAAGAACCATCCTAAAGAGGTATAAAAGATTTGAACCAGAAACATGTTTCATTCCATTTTCAATGAATGTATCATTTCGAAATTCGGTATCAAGATACTTTTTACAAAGTAGGTCGCAATCTTCAAGAAGCGAACACTTGAAAGCATGTCTCAACCATGTTTTATGTACAACATGCTAGGCAAAAAGCAGAGAACCTGTCAGAAGCAATAGGCATCACTTGATATTTTGGCTGGTATCCTAGAACTTCTGTTCCTCTCACATGCCAGGTCAACAACGTTCTAAACACCATCTTCCATGAGGGCAGCAAACAGTTCTCCACTGTCACACGCACGCTGGCAGCTGACCTGTTGCTAAGCAACCAGCCATCTGAGGCAGATGTTGTCAACATTGTCTTGTCATTGCGAGAGAGCCCACAGGGAGAAACGGCCCGGTTTGTTCTGGAGAAAGTTCTCCATGTTGCCAAGGGCACATCAGAGGCAAGGTCAGGGGTCATCTTCTAAACTTTTTTTCTCATTAAATTGGACAGTAAGAAGATGCTTTTATAATATTGTTTGCAGCAAGATCATTGTTTAGTTTCTGGATGGTGTTTACTAAGATTTTCCCGCAGCAAATAATCATTGAACCATTCAAAAGTGAGGTTTTATCTGCTGGGTGGAAACAAAGGTATGGGCTCCGCACAAGTACCCCTTCAACAGCAAGAAAAAGAGAGTTGGGGGAGACCTAGACTGGTTCCCGGTCCATCCACTGCGTATTTCGAATTAGCCAAAGTTATTGGGGCGGGGATTAGTCTGGGAGACCATCTCAAGTTAAACTTGAATGTATTTGTGTGCCGACGACGCCTGACGCTCATGGGAAGATGCTGGGGCTATAGCTTTGACACATTCAGGAAGCCGTGCGTACTTCGCGAGCAAACCAGTACAGTACAGTATGCGAACGCTGTGTGTCCTGTCCACAGAGCTCTCAAAAGAGGTAAAATGTGCCCTCTTTTGTTGGTGCACGGAGCCCATAGTCCCCACTTGTTGGGGGGAAAAACAAAATTTGAAAACTAGGGAATAAGATTTTGAAAGATGTATCAGAAATTTCAGACAACTGTTGTTAAAACTTTGCTGAATTTCCCAAAATAAAAAAGAAAATGTCTTCAAAATCGTTGGGGCTAGTTATTTTGAGGTCAAAATAGCCTTCATTAGGTCTCTCGCTCTTCAGGTAGTAGTATCTTTCGGTAACCAAATTTGCATGTTACTGAAAAATCTTAACTTTTTTTCCGTTTTTTTCCCCCCTCATAGTGACACGGTTCGATCAGCACTGGATGATATGCAGGTCCAGAATTACTACACCACGGCTCTCCCTGGCCAGTCAGTTGCCTTCAACAGTCTCTTTTTCGGTAAGCTCTTAGTTTCCTATTCTGTGAATTCTCTGGACTGCATTTCTCCTGTGTATTACCATCTGCTGACATCTTACCTGCTTTGTTGGATTTTTTGCAAGTGAATTCACAGCTTTATTCATAAGGTTGTCTTGAAACAACATGGCTCTTCAGACTAGTATATTTTTCTGGTTTCGGCATTTACCTCCGGTTGTAGGTTAAGTGGTCCATAAGTTAGCACCTTATGTTATTTCACGGTGTTCATCTCCTTTTCAGATACTGATGATGTCTCCATCAACTATGGGTTGGATATTCAGATGACGTCCAGCGGCCTTCTCAGAAAGAGTGATTTCCACGTTGGTCTTGATGTCAAGAATGAAACGTTACTGTTACTCAATGTGAGTGTCAACACAATGTTCTCTTGCTTGGCTGAGAATTAGGGCTTGCCTTGTACAGTGTGCAGATTATTCCAAACATTATTTATTTATTAAAGGGATTATTTGTAGGGCTATGCATCGGAACCAGGTACTCGAGCACCCAACCATTGATGTCAGGAACTGGTTCCAGATTATATCGGGTACCCATATTCAACTTTACAAATGACTTACTAAGTTCTCAGACAATGAGAAAGAAAGGTTTTAATGTCATGTGTGGGGAATTTTTAAAATGAAAACCAGGCTACATGGGAAAACAAAACATATTTCACGTTTATGACTCTTGTGAAAGTTGCAGTTTACACAGTGTAGCTATGAAGTTCACTGTACAGTGTACACAATTGTATCTTGCTGTATTGACGCACCGAGGTAGTAGTACATGTATTATCATAAGGACCTTTATGAACAATCTGAACAGCAACTTTTGAGATTTAAATTTTTGGCATTGGGTTTCTTTAACGGGTATCCGGGTACCCGTGTTTTTTTCCCAGTTGGGTACCTGGTTCCCGCACGACCTGTAAATGTACACCCCTATTTGTAACATTGTCAAAATACTGGTCTCAAGGGATAGGTTTGATATGTGGCGTATTCACATTTGGACTTCTGCCCATAAGGCCAAAAAAAAAAGTCTCCGGTTTCTGGTATGGAGCTTGCCCAAAAAGTGGTGCGGCGTCGCAGCTTTTTTTTTTTTTACCTGATTTTTTTTGCTTCAAATGTCGGCTGATGACTGCAAATGGTGCCTGACTAAACTTAGTGCAAATATATGGGAGTCCAGAGAGGCCACATAAAGCTTATTTTCAACCATAACCCAATCTAAAAACACATTAAAATTGTGCAGCAGCAGGATTCCAGTCAAACCAGTGAGTTTGGCGGTTTTGAGACATCATCTTTCATTGAAAAAAACCTTTTCATTTTGCCGACGGGCATGGCTTTTTTTTTGGCCTAAGTAAGAATCCTATCCTTGTCAAGGGCTACTCTAGTCTGAATGGCAAGTTTGGTGTGCATTGGCTTAATGCACGACAAGGTCTCCCTCTAGTGGTAAACATGTAACCATTCTCATCTTGTAATGTGCAAGGTCACCAAAGCATTATGTAAGCCATACTTTGAAAGATGTGTTAGTGTTCTTTGACAAGTTGTTGTAGAACCACAAATTGGTTAGGTGCACTACTTGATCCATTCCATACAAGCTACTGAATTGCCATCATCTGACTCATTAGCACGTTGTATAGCGCCCTCTTTTGATCATGCACAGCATCTGTTACAGGTCTGCCTGTTATTTTTCCATGACATGCTGTTATATTTCTTCCTAACAGGTTGGTATCTTCTCCCGAGGCTTGGAATATTTCTTTGGTGAGGAGACCGGGGATACTGGTGAGGCAACGGCCGGACTGAACATTGAGTGCATGGATATGAAGCTACGTATGCTGGTGTTCTTCACTGGCACCGGTGAACTCATGAGCATGGCATGGAACATGGGCTCCTCTGATAGTCCTATGCCTCATATGAGAGTTATTGGCTTGGTTCAAGATCATTCTCAGGTCAGTTGATATCCCCTGAGAAGTCCTCGCGACAAATACTTGAAACGGTTTCCCTCACCATGAAACAATGTGCGACATCTTCTCAGTGGCAATTGTTGGGGAGGGGTAGGGTAATACCCGCCATTACTATGTTACAATTTTTAAAAACCCTCCTAACACAGAAAGAGTGAAATTAGACTGCAATTTGTTTGTATTAAATTGTAGTAATTTAACAGTAAAAACTAGTTAACTTGAAGCTTAAGACCTACAATTTAGCAATGGAGATTGTGACGAGTTCCCTATAGTGTTCTATGTTGTCTCCCCCCCTCCCCCACCGCCAACTCTTAACAGGGCTTGTTAAAATATTTGATAACACCACCGCCCATGGAATATGTCTCACTTTGCTACTGTACTTGATTGCTTGGCTCCACAGAAATGATATATGTTTGTAAGTCAAAGAGGCTCTTCCTTGTCTTATCTTTTTGACAGAAACTGAGATTACAGTCAGGTTTTGATGTTGACTTGAACATCCAGGGAAGTTTATCTCTGGATCTTGGAGGCAGTTTAGACTTTAGTTTGTGGGATCGCTCCTCTAACACAATCGTCTCTACAGGGTAAGCAGTTTAAATTTAATCCTAGTTTGTCCCCAGTATTAATACAGTATTATGACATTTGTCATTTAGGCCCTTGCTAGAAATACATGTGTTCATCACCATCAGGACACCCATCAGGCCATTGTCATCATGCCATTGTCATCATGCCATTGTCATCATGCAAATGGCAGCCCATGGTCATTCGGTCATTGCCATCAGCCTCAGGCCATTGCCTTTAGCCTCAGGCCATTGCCATCAGCGTCAGGCCATTAACCTCAGGCCATTGCCATCAGCGTCAGGCCATTAGCCTCAGGCCATTGCCATCAGTGTCAGGCCATTAGCCTCAGGCCATTGCCATCAGCGTCAGGCCATTATCCTCAGGCCATTGCCATCAGCGCCAGGCCATTAGCCTCAGGCCATTGCCATCAGCGTCAGGCCATTAGCGTCAGGCCATCAGCGTCAGGCCATTGCAATCAGCATCTGGCCATTAGCCTCAGGCCATTGCCATCAGCGTCAGGCCATCAGCCTCAGGCCATTGCCATCAGCGTCAGGCCATCAGCCTCAGGCCATTGCCATCAGCGTCAGGCCATTAGCCTCAGGCCATTGCCATCAGCGTCAGGCTATTAGCCTCAGGCCATTGCCATCAGCGTCAGGCCGTCAGCCTCAGGCCATTGCCATCAGCGTCAGGCCATCAGCCTCAGGCCATCAGCCTCAGGCCATTGCCATCAGCGTCAGGCCATCAGCCTCGGGCCATTGCCATCAGCGTCAGGCCGTCAGCCTCAGGCCATTGCCATCAGCCTCAGGCCATTGCCATCAGTGTCAGGCCATCAGCCTCAGGCCATTGCCATCAGCGCCAGGCCATTAGCCTCAGGCCATTGCCATCAGCGCCAGGCCATTAGCCTCAGGCCATTGCCATCAGCGTCAGGCCATCAGCCTCAGGCCATTGCCATCAGCGCCAGGCCATTAGCCTCAGGCCATTGCCATCAGCGTCAGGCCATCAGCCTCAGGCCATTGCCATCAGCTTCAGGCCATCAGCCTCAGGCCATTGCCATCAGCGTCAGGCCATCAGCCTCAGGCCATTGCCATCAGCGTCAGGCCATTAGCGTCAGGCCATCAGCGTCAGGCCATTGCAATCAGCATCTGGCCATTAGCCTCAGGCCATTGCCATCAGCGTCAGGCCATCAGCCTCAGGCCATTGCCATCAGCGTCAGGCCATCAGCCTCAGGCCATTGCCATCAGCGCCAGGCCATTAGCCTCAGGCCATTGCCATCAGCGTCAGGCCATCAGCCTCAGGCCATTGCCATCAGCTTCAGGCCATCAGCCTCAGGCCATTGCCATCAGCGCCAGGCCATCAGCCTCAGGCCATTGCCATCAGCGTCAGGCCGTCAGCCTCAGGCCATTGCCATCAGCGTCAGGCCAACAGCCTCAGGCCATTGCTATCAGCGCCAGGCCATTAGCCTCAGGCCATTGCCATCAGCTTCAGGCCGTCAGCCTCAGGCCATTACCATCAGCGTCAGGCCATTAGCCTCAGGCCATTGCCATCAGCGTCAGGCCATTAGCCTCAGGCCATTGCCATCAGTGTCAGGCCATTAGCCTCAGGCCATTGCCATCAGCGTCAGGCCATTAACCTCAGGCCATTGCCATCAGCGCCAGGCCATTAGCCTCAGGCCATTGCCATCAGCGTCAGGCCATTAGCGTCAGGCCATTGCCATCAGTGTCAGGCCATTAGCCTCAGGCCATCAGCGTCAGACCATTGCCATCAGCCTCAGGTCATTAGCCTCGGGCCATCAGCGTCAGGCCATTGCAATTAGCGTCAGGCCATTAGCCTCGGGCCATCAGCGTCAGGCCATTGCCATTAGCCTCAGGCCATCAGCGTCAGACCATTGCCATCAGCCTCAGGTCATTAGCATAAGACATCATCAGGACATTGTCATTAGGCCATTGCCATCAGCCTCAGAACATTTGGACATTGTCATCTGGCCATTTACCAGTCCATTGTCATTAGGCCATCGTCATCATGATCAGGTCATTGTCATTGGTTCATTGTCACCAAGCAGTTGTCACCAAGCAACTGTTGTCAGGTCATTGTAAATCAAATCATTTTTTTTTGCCGACACTAGAGAAACTAGTTGCCTTGACTTTTGCCATGTCAGTAACGTATGCTGTCCCGTAGAGGTACCCACGCACCTCTGGATGGATATATGTTCATGTATCCATAAGCAATGTTAACACTGTAATATTATCTTGAATTTGATCTTGCTATCACCATGCTCTGCCACAACATGACCTTTATAAGGCCTGTAGGCTATGCAGGAACCATGGATTGCTGTGTGTTATCTAGGTACAGAAGGCTGAGTGTGGGTACATCATGGTAATTGTTCTTTATAGTGCCCTTAAAGGGAAAATACAACATTTGCAAACATCACAAAATAAAACTACCAAATCATTTTGAAATACCTTGCTGGACTGTTAGTGAATGACAGTGTAAAGCATCCTGTAAAATCATGGCACCTGGTATACTGTCATTTTCAAGAAAAGTGGTATTTTTGTATCAATTTCCAACGCTGATCGGCTGATCAGCGTTGGAAAAAACTGGCTTTTTTTTCAAATACTGGCCCCAGTTGACCATCGCACTTGTTTGCAATCGATTACACACCTATGAACAGGTACAAGCCAGCTAGACTGGTTCCCTGACCTTACAATTCCCCAATATGTGTAAACTGCTCTGTTTCTTCTTAAATGGAGTCAGGGAACCAGACTACAGGAAAATGATTGTTTTTCTTGGTTTTTATAGCATTTTCGAACCCAAAACCTCTAAAAAGTCAGTGTAACTATATTTGCTATATATTTCCAACCCCCCAATTCCATCCATTTCTGAAAATTACAGCAAAAGCAAATGATGTATATTCCCTTTAAGTGTCAGTAATACATACATTTCAAACATTGAAGTTGTTGTTACACTAAAGGACAAAAATACCCTGTTGATTTCTTGATTGATTGATGAAATGCTGTTTTTTTTCAGTGGATCAATGGGTCTTAAAGGCTCTACCCGTATCAATACTCCATTCATCACAACAGGCATTGACTACACAGGCAAAGGAGCAACTAGGGTCAACTTTATCACCTCTGTGCAGTTTTCCTCGTTACCTCCGCTGTCTTGTCTACAACTTATGAACGAACCTCTTATTTATATGTAAGTGTTGTCCAATCATAAACGATAGAGGCAAGGTCAGGTCTTCAAAAATCACTAGCAGCCAATTACAACAAATCAGTTGTCGAATCACCCTGTCCGCCTTTTTGAGAATACTTTTGTTTGAATTGCTTCGGAATCATGTGGCAGCTCTAAAATATTTTAAAACTTTACAAAGTTTTAAAAACTAGTTTTAAAAACATAGCTGTGATTTTCTTGTATCAACCTTGAAAATTTGGGCATTGATATGCTCCATGAGATCATGATTAGTCAGCCAAACCATATATTTTCAGTCGCTACACCATAACTTATATGCCACCTTAAAATGATTGCGTAAGTTACGCCCTAATTTGTTGCATTAGTTGTGTTACTAGGAACTGTGAAACCTTCGCGAAATGTCATAACTGATATGTTGCGCAACATCAAATGTTGTGCAACTTTTGCAATAAAATGTGGCGCAAATGGAGTTATGCAATTGCGAAAGTTTCAAAGAGTCAAGTGCTGTGGCGTTAAAAGTATGAAAAAATGCTTGCTTGTCCCTGTTAAGTTATCTCATATTTGTTTTCCCGAGTTCCCGAAAATACTGATCATAATTATAGTGCTTTTTGTGAAGGGTTAAACACTGCAAAAAAATGCCTTGTTTTGACTGAAATGTATAACAAATTTTGGGTTACGCCTTGCCTTCCAAATATCACTTCACTTCATATTTATGTGCCATTTCACCATTTTGATCCTTTCCACAGAAATGAAGTCACAAAGTATGAGCAGTTAGCTAGGTCTGAGACCAAGTATGAATCCTACCTACGGAGAAGGTTCAAAGTATTGGACCATCCTTCAAACTCTTCAGCAGGAACTCAGAGCCGTGCCACGAGATGTTTGGCAAAGAAGAAGAAGAAGAAGAAGGATGGTGGTAGACTTTATTTTATAAAAAGCACACTCTTTTACATAATTGCCTGTTGAGCTTTTGTTTGTTCATGGATAGGTTTTCTGCCAGTATTCTGGAGTGATTTAAGATTTTAATATAGTAGATCATTATTATTTGTGTCTAGGGAACACAAATATTCTACATTATCTTCAAGTAAACTTTAATCCTCGATCTTGATTGGTCGATCCATGGCAACAAGCTGTGCTACATATAACCGGTGTAGCACAGCCACGGTCTATACGGCACTCCACGTCTTGAGCTATTCCAAGATCGTGCGCCATTCCATACAAACACGCAAGTGTGATAGGATATCCACTGAAAGTTTGTGTACAGTGTGCGTGTTCAACCTTCTTAGTGCATCAAGTTTGCTTGAAGATAAATTTATCATGCTCGCGCTCGTCGAACACAGATAATGTATTGCGTCTGTGTCCCACATACCACTCGGCTTACGGCTCCGGGGTGTGTTGACTCAGACGCACTACATTATTCCGTGTTCCACTCGCGTTCGTGGGATGACTACTAGAACCATCATTTTTACACACAACTCGACTTCAGATTCACACACTCTGTGTACATCTTCATTATGTTGGACGTTGAATCTGATAGTGCACAGCAAACATACAGTACCCGATTGAAAGCGTTGTTCAATTTAATGAGTGAAAGCAAAAGAAATAGGGCAAAGGGGCTGCACACCAATCAACGATGAGGCCACTTTTCATATTGCGCATGTAAAAAGTGCGTTCGGTATCAGCCATGTCGCCACAGGTTAGGTCACTTCAAGGCTGTTTCGACTGTTAAATTAACAAACATAAAAACATGAATATGAATTAAACATAAAACAGGCCCCTTAATGTCTTTTTCCTGCTTATTCGCCTATAAAAGTTTTTGTAGAACAAAATGGGTATTTTAAGGGCTGCCTTAAAATAAAATATAAATATTTGGCATAGACCCCCATTGGGAATCTTAGCGGCCCCAAACCCTCGGCCTTGTAAATTTCTTCCAATCTGACTGGTCCTATCATGGTGCCATTTCTGCACAAATTCCTAGATCAGGAATTCAATCCAAAAACAAGCAAGCAATCACTGGTTTGTATCGATTTTACACATAGACAAGACAGTGATGTGCCTGCCTTCTTGAGAGAGCTTGAAATTTAGTGTCAATAATTGAAAGCCAAATCGTGCCTTGAACATAATTTAATTCTTATGAATTTTATCAAAACAAGAAAGCATTTTTCTTTAATTTCCTTATAATTGTGCAGTTTTTCTACAATTTTATAGCTCTTTTTCTCTAAAGTTACCATCATTTTAAAAATTAAAATATAGAAGTACGTATATTTTGATAATGTTGTTTTGATACTCTTAAATTTTGATATAAAAAGTATTTTTTGATTGTTTCTATTCTTTGTGAACTAAATTCTGGCCATTTAATGTGTTGTTATTGGACTTGGTGATTGTTTGATTTATTACAAACCTCACAAAATTCAACTTGTTAATGTTAAATAACTTTATTATTAATAATTTCAATAATTAAATTAGTTCTTAACCAACGGCAAAAACCACAACATATAATAATGAAACCTTATTGATTATCCCTAAATTTATTGGTTGAAGGATGGTTAATGGATTTCTTTAACATTTTTCTTGAAAACTTCAATTTTTTATGGAAGTTTTTGAGAAAAGTACATGCAAACAATGCAAATCTTGTAGTTTAAGGACTGAAGTCGTAGTTAGCTTAGTGTACTTTACAAATGTGTCTATAGGCCCTCGTTTTGGACAGCAGAACAATAAATCATGTGTGCCATTGGTTGTGATTTGTATCGAATTGTTTACTGTGGCAAATAAGGTTATTTGAGAATTATGTTTTGTACAAGGAAATCAGCGCTTTCAAGTTGGAATAATTTGACATACAGTCTGTATATAAAATTAAAATTGAGCGCAGATCACCTCTACAGCTAGTCTGAGTATCACTCTTTCTCCACGGAGCTCATCTCCGGTAGAATGCCTGATATATCTAAGCATGCTTGACGTCATTCCGAAATCAGGACTAAGATTGTGATTGGTCAATGTTGAATATGAACGCAAGATTAATCTTTAAATCTCAAATTCGTTAAATCTCAAATAAATTGGGGCCGTATCATAAGTCCGACGCCTCAAAGGTCCGACGCCTCATAAGTCCGAAATTTCGGACTTATGAGGCGTCGGACTTATGAGGCATACAATTTATTTATTCCGCCTCATAGGTCCAACGCCTCATAAATCCGACGCCTCATAAGTCCGACAACGGAAAAAATGAGGCGTTTAATTTGTCGGACTTACGAGGCGTCGGAGCTTTGAGGCGTCGGACCTATGAGTCGTCGGACTTATGAGGCGTCGGACCTGTGAGGCGTCGGACTTATGGGCCTTTATTTGGTTAGGGGATGCGATTTTGTCGGACTTATGAAGCGTCGGACCTATGAGGCGTCGGACTTATGAGCGGACCCCCGTAAATTGATCGTGTTACAACCAGTGGCGTAGCCACCGGGGGGGGGGGGGGGGGGGGGGGGGGGGGGGGGGGGGGGGGGGGGGGCGTGGGGGGGGGACCGCCCCCCATGAAACCTTGTCCCCCCCCCCCAGTCGCCCCCACCCCCCCACTGAGATTTTGAGTTTCTAAAAAAAATATCATTGATCTACATGACGCCATGGGCCCTATTATGTTCCACAATGTATCTTTGCTTAGAAAATATTGGATAAAGTGGTCAGAAATTGCCTCAGATAGCACCACAGAGCATTTAGAATCCAAAATTTGTCGGGGCCCTTAAGCGGGCCCCGAACCCCACGCCTATAGCTCAGCCTGGTAGCTGATTCAATGACTCCAACCTCGAAAACAATGTTCAAAAAAATTTCTTATGCCTCAGCTGAGAAAACCTCGAAAATTATGTTTAAATTATTATCTTTTGTGCTAGGATAATTATTGGTTAAAGTGGTAAGAAATTGCCTCAGATCACACCACAGAGCATCGAGAATCCAATTTTTTTCGGGGCCCTTAAGCGGGCCCCGAACCCCACGCCTACAGCTCAGAATACCGATAGCTGATTTAAGGACTCCAATCTCGAAAACGATGTTCAAATAATTATCTTTTGCTAAGAAAATATTAGTTAAAGTATGGAGGAAAGTGGTAAGAAATTGCTTCAGATCACACCACAGAACATCTAGAATCCAATTTTTTTCGGGCCCTTTACGCCATAAGGGCTACGCGCTTCGCGCTTCGCGCTCGCATCACTAAGTTCTGATCAAGGTATGTCCCCCCCCCCCCACTTTTGAGAAGCGATTGACGCCCTACATGACGCCCCCCCCCCCATGAAATGTTCCAACCCCCCAGCGCCCCCCCCCCCCCCCCCACTGAAAAATTCCTGGCTACGCAACTGCTCAAACATCTATGTTATCGCAAACACTAGCTTGTTTGCTCAGTGGATATCGGATGAAACCTTGAGTCCTTGGGTAAGAGCGACATCAGCTGCACCATTACGTAATCGAAAGTCAGTCAATCATACATCTGCATAGACTGCATGGCCTGATTTTTTTTTAAGGACAGGTGACGACAAAGCAATTGTTGTTAATACTTTCACACCGCCCTCCCCTATCAAAATGCCTTTTTCATTAATTGTAACAGTAAGTACAACAGAGCAATGTCCCTCTCTATGGTCTCATTGACCTTCCATACATAATTGCAACCATATCCACCCCATTTATCATGCTCTGTATGTGTTGTAGCAGTGAATCCTCGATCCTTTGGCCGCGTATCAAAAGGTAAGGAAAAACACATTTGCCCCCCCCCCCTCCCCACACAATCTGGATCGAAGCCTGAAATACGAAAATCTGCTCAGTTATTATGCAATACTATAACACTGATACGAAGAAAACCCACTGACAGGTTGGCCAAGATAAGTATTGCACAATGCTTGAGTGTACAGAGGCCCGCGTGTTTCCAGGGTTGTGTATACATGACGCCTGTACTTGTTGGCTCGATGACTATAGATCGATAGTTGCGGCCGAGCTAGGTCACTCTCACCCCGCCCTGATCATTCCCAGATTCAATTGAGTCCACTCCAGGATCGCACGTACGTACAAAATGGCAGGCACTACCAAACTGTATTACATCTGGAACTTCTTCGAGAAGATCCAACCAGCTGGATTCGTAAACAGTTGGTTACAAGCAGCCAACTATGTAAAGACCAACAAGGACTACATATCAACCCAACTCCATCGCAACTTGAACCCTGATGGTACGGTAGTACATTTTTTGTTATGTTAGGGGCCATTCAGAATTTTCAATGTTTTAAAATTTCGACTTTTTTTCCAAATTATTTTGACCCACCCACCCACCCCTAATTTCGATTAATAAAAAACTGAACATGTACATGTACATGCACTTGCATGTACATAAAATATGTGATACCTCACCAACAAGTATCTTTTAACGAAATTCAATCAGAATATTTATCATTTTTTTAAAACATGTTTAGTTGTTGTGTTACTTGTTGGTGTCCCTGCCACACTGTACGATGGTGTAGCCGTGCGTTATGCACGTGGATTGTTTACTTCGTTTTGACGGGGACTTTACTGAATAGAGTCTGGTGACTGTACATAGAAATTTCTTTGAATAAAAGTCGAATCGTTCATTCATGTGCACTTGTTGTGCAAAGCAGGGGCAGTGGTTCAAGGATATCTATGTCGACTTGCAAATAGTGTGCAAGAATAATACAACAATCACAATACAACGACGCTGTTTAGATATTTCACTGTGTGACACAGTGAGAAATTTTGGAATCATAATGGCGTTTCTAAAAAAATTATCATTGATCTACATGACGCCCCCCCCCACTGAAAAAAATCCTGGCTACGCCACTGACAGTACGTACAGGGACGAAGTTGGAAAAGAAACACGCATCGCGATATCGGAACGTTTGCGCGTAGTTCAGGCAAGTCAAAAGATCTATCTTTCTTTGTTTTTTTATCTTTTTTCCATGGAAAGTGAATTTCGATTTTCAATTATTTAGCTTGACCCACCCACCCACAATTTGGAAAAAAGATCGAATTTTAAAACATTGAAAATTCTGAATGGCCCCTTATGTGCGCCAAACAAGGCCAAATTTGGAATGCCCTTTTACCACAGATTTCTGGGCTTATGATCACCCCTCTCTTGGGTCTACCATCCGAAATGTCCGTGTTATTCCCGGATCCGACAAGGATAGTTAGGAACCCCTTTGCTTCTGCACGGGTCGGGCGCTCTATGGGTAAAATCCAACCCTGTACAGGATCAGGGTTCAGAGGATTTATCCTATATTAAAATATCATACGGGATGTGTTTTGGTCGACATCTCACGAACTATATGCTGTCATCCCGCGATAATTTTTTTTAGTATCTCAACATCTTGTGTGGCACTTCCGGATCTCTGTATGAAACTTGGTTCTTCTTGGTTCTTGGTTGGTTCATCTCCTTAATACTCCGCGTGGGAGTTTATACAGGAGACCAGAAACACCAGGGCAAACCCCTTCTCTTAGCGATAAGTGTCACTGGGTTCTTGAAAAATAGCTGGCGCGTAAAAACAACTACATAGGTCGCCAGATGGGCGCCAGAGGGTCTTAATGGTCTCCGATGAGCGCCAAGGTCTTTGAACATGCCGCAAAACAATCGCAACACCTCTGCGCCCTGGCCAGTGTGGTAATGACGCATCTCGGGCGCTGTGCGACATTGAAGTGGCGTTGAGGCAGCCTATGGGCGCAAGGCAGTCGATGTAGTCTCTATGAGAAAGTAACTCGACTGTGATGAACTTGTAGAATAAGTTTAATACTGGACTGTGTATTGACCGTTTTGTCGTGGTATTTATACAGTGCAAGTGACGTCACATGAGCGTATTTTGGTCGAATAGAGAGCGCGACGCATGCTACTAGGACGTATCAACAGCGAGCAGAGCGTAGTGTGGGCGCAGTGACAGCACCTAGATCGAGTAATTGGGCTTGACAGGGGCGCATAGAGAGCGAGTTGAACGCATCGTAACCGCGGGAAGAGCACAGTATGAGCGTAGCTTGAGCTTCTTTGAGACAGAAAGTTGTCTTTTTATTGCGTCCTCGCTGCGATTGTTAAATTTATTAAAACAAATTGGTCGCCGTAAGGTCTCCTATGAGAGCGCATATAATGTGGCAGGCCCTTTACGGGCTCGAACCCACATCACTGTTGCCTATGAAACACCAGAGCATGCCGGTGTTCTTAACCGCTAGGCCATGACGCTCCGCCTCAGCGCCTCCATCGTGCAATGATGCTCAACACGTGCCGTAAATGGTGTGTGCTACCACCCCCACCAACAAAATCCTGGCGACGTCCATGCGCAATGTTATTATCCTAGCATATAGCTGCCGTATTTTTTGTATTAAACTTAAAGTCAACTTAATCGCGTTCTTTGTTCATCCTTACTTCACAGGTGCCTTCAAGTACGTGAATCATGCTGCGTTCGACGGACTAACATTTGAGGGGTTTCAGCAGAGCAAACCATCAGAGGCTTGGATAAGAATGATGAAGGACTCAACGTCAGCAGACAACGTGGCCTATCCAGGTAGGACTTCAGACATGGTTCAGATCAGATCTTAATTTAAAAAAATGCCTTTAATGAAGAGTAGGCCTAATCGTTAACCACAATGATTCTATATTCATTTATAACAATTGAAAAAATAACCACATGTAGATGAAAAACCTGATGGGCTTTTCCAAATAAGGCCTGTAAATTGCAACAGAATCGTTGTGAAACTAAGTAATCATTCTGAATCGCAAAGAATCACAGACAACCAAAAAATAGTCGCAGGCATGGATCATCAATCGCACCAGCTATATCCGACTAGATGATTCCATTTCTTTTGGTGATGTTCGGACCCATATAACTGCTATTAGCCTTTTGTTCATTCGACTGCATTGGCAAGCCGTTAATTAATCACGAGGTCAAAGTTCAATATTGACAAGTGAACAAAAATCATTGAGCTGCTCAAGTTCAGTTTCGATCTTAAATCATTTTCTTTCAATTCTTATCTATAAGGTGGCTACACTGAGATTACAACAAATACTGGGAAGCCATTAGCTCCCTGGCTGCCAAAAGATGACAAGGGCGTCTTCATCATCACATCATTCAAGGTGAGTTTTCCCGTACCCATGTTTTATCTAAAAGCAAAATAACACAAAGGGGCCTAAATTAAACCAATGTAGCAAAGAAAAGGCGTATCATTCCAAATGTCTTTGTGTTGCACATTCTCATGGCGCATGTTTGTTTTTTCATGATATTTCAATAAGTCCTTTCTCGATTTGTAACCATGAATGGCCAACAATGCCAAGTTTTGTATTGGTTGAACGTTTTGTCCAGGCCGCTGATGAAAACGATGCCACGCTTCAGGAAACCTTTGAGAAAGACTGGATGGAATCTTCGGGCGCTAACTTCATCCTTCAGAAAGCTCCCAAAGATCTCGGTATCTCTCACTTAGGTCTATACAAGAAGTTTACTCCGCGTCCAGGATTGAAGTACGTCCTCCGTGCAGAGCTGGAAGGTGTTGGAGAGGATTCGGAGGCTGCAAGGAGCTTCCTGAGTCAGTTGAAGGCCTTCAAGTTTCCCGATTACTTCGAGCGTGTCGATACCGATCTGTACAGGGCTGACCCCGAAAATATCATCTTCCCCGACGCAGGAAAGAAAGATCTTCCTGAAGGACATAGTTATAAGCCTTAGAATCCACTAAGACCATCACGTCTTAAATCTTTGACATCCGTTGACTGCATACTATTTTAAACGTCTGTATAGTTTCAATCTGTTTCTTTGCATAAGCTATGGGATCTGGCAGAAAACTTTTAACTTGTGTTTGATTCTCTGGTGTTTTCTTTTTAATTTCTCAGCTGAAGTCACCGATGTAGCAAGAAGTTGTTGCATTTGGCGGAACACTGTTCGTCCCTAAATAAACAATAATAATTGCGCTTTTTCTTCGTAATACAAAAAGCTTGTTCGACAGTACTACAAAGAGTGAAAGGAATTTGTTTTGCTTGACAAACCTGCATAGTCTGTTTTTCTTTTTAGTTCAGGTTTATTTTGAGTCACTTTACTTAATTGAAATAGTCGTTCAACTATGATGCAGATTTTGTTTTCCGGTGGAAAAACGGTTTTTCTATTTTAAACGTATTCCATGTAACCCCGAGCTGCATTTGTTTGTTTAATTGTATGCCCTAACTACAATGATTAATAGTAAACGATGATAAGCTATTTAAGGTCGTCCTGTTTAGTATAATGAAAAGATTGTACTTGTTCACGAAACGAAAAAAATAATGGCCAGGCAGTGGTCCTAAATTTCCAAGCCACGAATGAATCTTGGTAATGAGTGAAAGTCAGGGTTTTACTTGTCAGCCGGACTAGTGAACCAGACTCTTAACCAGTCCACCAGTGCACCAGAATGTCATAAACAACAACGTGCATACAATGTACATGTATAACTTTATCCTGAGGCAATCTTGTCGGTGTTTTCAACAAACATATTTAATTAAAAAGAATTGAAACATACACTAACTGATTAACGTTATTAATATATTAAATAAACCATCTGTTAATAAATTAAATCAACTTACAAAAAAAGAAATTATCCTTTTTTTTGGTATTTTTTTTCTTCAAATGATGACTAGAATAGATCTACTCACATCACGTGTTCGGCCCAAATGTTTCCGGTCCCATTTTCCTTTGCGACACAAAAGCTATCAAACATGGACGCTCAAAAAGACAAAAAAATAGGGGAAAAATATAAACGTCACGACAAGAGAGGAGGAGGGTACCAAGCGGTATCAGCGTGCACGCCATGAAAACCGGCGCGGCCACGCGTGAGTGGCGCAAGTATCGGCGATAAGACCTCCGATAAATACAGAAAAGCGGAAAATGCAGACACAGAAAAGAGAGATCAAGTTAGGCTAAGTAAAATAAAGGAGCAGAAAAAATCTTTCTCCACTGATGTTTTCTTGACATTCTACGTTGTTAAATTCGACCAGATTTTATTACGTAGGCCATGGTTTTTCAACGAGCATTCATGCTAAGTGCCAGAGAAAAATAGAGGGCGCTGTGTCGCACGCTCGTTTATAATAAGGTCACACGATATGCTGGACTTTTTGAACCTTCCGATGTGCCACTTGTACTGTTCTTACACGAACGCGCGTCCGTACTATTTTTCATAGTCGCTTGTATTTCGCGTAATAACCCCAATGCTGTTTGGTTTTATGGCTTTATATGTCAACATAGTACTTTCCCATAGTGTCTGAATATATTCCGATCCCAGATGTCCATTGTTTATTTTGCCATCGATGTCTATTGATTGTTTACCCCCCCCCCCCCCAAAAAAAGGATTTCTTTTTCATAAAGGAAAATGAATATCAAGAAAACAAGACAAATTTATGAATGACATCATGTTGTATTCATCACTTTAGTAAATTCATAAAAGCTGGTGTTGTTGAATGTGGCAAGGCAACAATAGCATGATTGATTGCTTGGGTAGGTCTGGCGGTAAAACCCAGACCTCAAAGGCCCCTTTATGTATACAAAGTAATGGGAGACTCTTGGGGCAGCACTTTGCTTTGCAAAAAGCTGGGTCACCGGTTCAACCAGAGTTCAAGCGGCACTTACCATGTTATTTGGCTTGCTTTGAACTAGGAATACATGTAATATGAGATTTTTTTAACGCAGGATGAAAAAGTAATTGCTTTTTTACGGCGAAGCGACTATGAATAATAGTACAGTGGCACACCGGAATGTTATTGCTTTTATGAAACTATACAAATTAAAACGCAGTGCTAGTCTGTTTTCTTCTTATTAGTGGACCAGCCAAAGTGGAATATTACACTTTGGACTGCATTTTTTGGTAATAGCAGGCAACCATGTCAGATCAATCAGTCAAAGGATGGAGAACAAAATGTAGGTGGATGCCACCCTTAATTTATACCCAAATATACCTAATTTGCATAAATCCCTGTCGTGTAATATATTCATTCCCATATTTGGGTATATTCTTAATGTTATTATTTTTTTTTGAAAAGTGTATTTTGGTGATTGTACACCTTGACCTAAATAACATTTTCTTCTGCATTTGACTGAATAATTATGAGGATATAGTAACGATCCAAAATGGTTATCATCATACCCCAAAAACTGCCCGCATTTACCTTGTCTCCAGATATCATCAAGTAGTCTTGCCAAACCTCAGTATCGATAGCTTCCGCTTCACCAAGTTGCTTCCTTCCACAGCTACCCTATTAAAACCTTTTGGAAAAGCATGTGAACAATGATAACATTGTGATATGTAGCTCAGCAACCAAAACAGGGAAAAACATGCTGGTTGTCCGTAAACTGGGCTTAATTTAGGTGATGAGTCGTCTAACGTGGGACATTTGAATAAGTTCAAGGAAATCCCCCTCACCCCCCCCGAAAAGAAGTAGGCTTGCAATAATTATGTCATTGTCAAAATGTTTTTTTTCCATTAATTTTCTTTCCAATAATTTTGGGAATTGCCTTGAACTTTTTTCAAGTCTCCCACGTTAGGCAACCCTTCACTAATTACGCCATTTAACAGACACCCCGTTTCCCCGTGTTTGTTTGCTGGGCTAAATATCACAACGTTATCATTGTTCACATGATTTTCCATAAGGTTTTAATAGGGTAACTGTGCCAGTAAGCAACTTGGTGAATTTGAAGCTCATCAATACTGAAGTTTTTTTTGCAAGACTACTTGAAGATATCTGGAGACAAGGTAAATGCATGCAACTTTTGGGTATAATAGTAGCCATTTGGGATCGTATGTCCTCATAACTATTCAGTCACTTATATACTTTAGAAAATGTTAATGAAGTAAGGATGGGCAAGTAGAATCTCCAAAATAAAATTTTCAAAAAAATAAAAAATAAAAAATATACCCAAATCTGGGGAAAAATATATTACACGGCAGGTTTTAACGATTTATGCAAATTAGGTGTATTTACGGTCACAATTAACGATGGCACCCACCCACATCTCGTTGGTTATGGTTCAAAGAATTAATTGATTTAGCAAGGATGCCAGCTGTAACCCCAAAAGGCCGTGATTTTTTTGATTAGGGGGGTATTTATACCCCACAATATTTTCTAAAGACTGTCCGTTTCCAATGATATGCCCTTTTTCCCCGGCGCTTCCCCCCCCCCGCCAATATTTTTGTAGGAGTGCCCCTTTTTTATTACGAAGTGCCCTTTTTATAAAAAGAATTGGTACCCTTTTTATGCCAGCAGCCGTTCGGGTGCCTTTTTGTTTGTTTGACGCACGTATCTCCCTGGGCCCATTATTGTCCGTTACGGTGTGAATAATGGTCGGTTTTGAACAGCCCCCCCCCCCCCCCCCCCCCTTTTTGATTTTACGGAGGCCAAGTGTCCGGGAAAAAACACGTGCTTACATTTTTACCACGGATGTGCAAGTGCCCTTTCAAAAAATGTAACCCCCCAATCAAAATGACCGTGCTACCCCACTGAAAAGTACACAACAAATTGTGTTTGACCGTGTAAATCCAGGGTTGCGGAATCCAGGGTTGCGGAGTAGACATGTTTATTCAATGACCGTGACGTGACTAGACATAATCGTCGCGGGCCGGGTCACGACCCTCATTCATAGACACCATTCATCTTCACTGTACGATCGCAACGTACATTCATTTCGCTTCCAACGCTGGGCAAGAATGGCAGGCACTACCAAACTGTATTACATCTGGAACTTCTTCGAGAAGATCCAACCAGCTGGATTCGTGGACTATTGGTTACGGGCAGCCAACTATGTAAAGACCAACAAGGACTACATATCAACCCAACTCCATCGCAACTTGAACCCTGATGGTACGGTAGTAGTCTAGTGTGTATCTTATCTATCCATAATTCCATAATCAGCATAGCAGGTCGTTTTTATAGTTTGCATCAAACCTACACTAAAAATCGTTCATTTGTTATTAAGGTCCCGCCAAGAGCTATAGGCCCAAATTTGAATTGCCTATATATTTCTGCGCTGATGATCTCTGGGTTTACCATCCGAAATAGTCCCGGGTCCGGAGATAAATGAACCCTTTACTTGATACTAATACTCAGCACAAATCCAACACAGCTTCCATACGCCGGGATCAGGCGCTCTACATGGGTAAAATCCTACCTTGGATCTGGACAGACAGGACTGGTTCAGAGGGTATCTAAATGCACTGCTATGACACTCCACTGGTGTATTAGCGTGAACGGTATTGGCATTGCCTACCCGTACCGTACCCATGTTCGATGAAACCAAATTCTGCTCACAGTGGACCCACGGGTTGGCAATGACTGTAAAATGACAATAATCTTTTCTTTGGAAAACTATTCAAGTCTTTAATCGTCACTGTCTTCAGCGTTTTCTTCATCTTCATCTTGTTGGAACAGGCCGTCACATGTGTTACGGTGTTTATGCATTATCCTGTTCAGAGCCCTATTTACTTCCATGCCTGTATTCAATTTTCCTTGGATGTCTTCTACAATTTCGTGCTGGGTGCCATTATCTTTCAGATGTATGTAACTTGACAAAAAATCTTTGCATTTGTTGAAAAAGATTCGCTTGACTGCCAAAAGGGTCTTCACGTTGGCTTTTTCCTTGGCCTGATCTTTACTCATATCCCCGTTGATGTACTTTTCATATTTTGCACTCCACATCTCATCGGTGGCTTCTAGGGACTCTTTCAACCAGTCTCGATATGCGGTGTTGTCTTCCAAATCCGAACTAGACTCATCTTCATCAGATAATTCGTCATCTTCCACCTCCATGACGGATTCCGAATCATTTTCCTCAAGATCGTCGTCTTCATCATACGTAGATTCAGTTTCATTGTTTTCCATTTTCGTATCTTCAAATCTACGGCTTTTAAATTCAGGTTCAGAATTATCCACCTCAACTTCATCTACGTTAGATTCATCTTCAGCATGTGCATTTTTCGGTATGTCTCAAGAGGTTATATCTCCGTCCGAAGCTTTTGTCACACATGTGACAAGCATAGGGTTTGACTGCAGAAATAACATTCATGTTGGAGCTTTGAAGCTTAATCTCCGAATGGTAAGAAAGTGATGAAATCATTTAATATATAACTACTCATTTCACTGCTCATTTACTCATTTCACTGCTCATTTCTTGCTCTTTTGATTACTCACTTACTCATTTTACTGCTCATCTGCTAATTTCCTGCTTTTTTGATTACTCAGTTACTCATGTCACTGCTCATCTGCTAATTTCCTGCTCAGTTGATTACTCATTTCACTGCTCATTTATTCATTTCACTGCTCATTTACTCATCTCTTGCTCTTTTGATTACTCATTTACTCATTTCACTGCTCATTTACTCATTTGTAGTAATGAGCAGCGAAATGAGTAGTTACATATTAAATGATTTCATCACTTTCTTACCATGAAAAGTGAATATAGAAAGTCTCGACCGTTTTTTTTTCTGAAGCGACAGCGGTGCAATATACGCCTTTCGCTCGTATCCCCCGCCCTGCAAACAGGACGCTGGGAAGGGCTGATGAATTTAAGCTCTGATTGGATAGATTTTTCGTGACCTGTGACCTGCAAGTCATCACGACCACGACCCTGCAAGGTTTGAAACGGCCATTAAGACCGAGTCACTATTCTTTTATTCCTATTCATAAATGCTTTTTTTTGTTGGAAAGCGTAAGGATGAAGGAAAATCTGAAAAACTTATTTTTGTTTTTGGAAAGCGTAAGGATGTAGGAAACTCTGTAAAACTTATCTGTTTTGTACATTTTATCTCCCGTCACTTTCTGAGGTTCCGTTTGGAATTCACGAAGGGTCAAACTGCATATTATGCGACGCTCAAATTTGTCCAAATGGTCCGCAATGAAATAGAAATCACATCCGGTAATGAATGTATGCATTTCTATGATAAAGTTTTCGGATATCATTTGCGCGCATTAGCTAACCGGGGCTTTAAACAGCTGCGATGCGATGCGAGAGTGCAGCCTAACCTACACCAATTCGAGACTTGGTCGCCGCCCTCAACTCTTCTATATCCAGCATTATGGTCCTCAGCTCCCCTGTGTCACTGAGACCAACATCCCGCCGCAGCGTGTCGATGTACGTGGCTCGTCTGCGCCCCCTCCTGGCAGTTCCATGAGTCGGCTCCCACAGGATGGTGTTGTGGGCTGCTAGCTCCGGGTGGCGGATGCAATGGCCTGCCAGAGCCAATTTTCCTCTCCCTGATCTTGTCTGAGATGTGTGGAAGGTCTCCAAAAAAGGTCAAGATGCTGAAGTGGTCTCTCCAGGAGACATTCAGAGCCATGTAGACACCATCAATCGACTTCTCCTGCTTTATGAGGGCTACGATTCAGCACCGTAAAGCAGCACTGACTCGACCGTTGCAACAAAGAATGGCCTCTTGAGGTCGTCGCTGAGCTTTCCCCACCTTCTTCATTGAGTGGGCCGCACTCCATGCCAGAGCCCTCCCGATCTTCTGCTCCTTCTCTGTTGAGGCAATGAAGGACCGAGGTACTTAAAGTCCTTCACTACCTCGACCACTGTCTTCTATCGCCAGTGGCGACTGTTGTGCCCTCAATGTTGAAGGCTAGCACCTTTGTCTTTTTGGCATTAATGTGGAGGCCAATCTTCATGCACTAAGATTCTACCGCAAGAAGCAGCACCCGCGCTTTTTCTGCCGTGCCAGATATGAGGCCAATATCATCAGAGAAGTCGAGGTCGGTCATCATGACAGGGCTAACCCGCCTTCTTCTTCTAGGTGTGAATGTGAAGCAAAGCTCCTCTTCCTTGCTGTCAATCGCTTGCCTCAGTGTATAGTCGAGGACCAGCACAAAATAGAAGGGGACCAGTGTGTCACCCTAGAGTACTCTCGTCAGGATCTCAAATTACTGGGTCGCTCCGTCAGGAGAGAGCACCTTGGCGCGAGTGCCATTGTAGCCAACTGCAACTGCCTGGACCACCTTCTCTCGGACACCATAATGCACGCACTGTTGAGCCGTGGTGCGCTTCTGCCGCGGAAGTCGTTCTGTGACGTTCTGAGCAAAGGACCTAGAGCGGGTCTGAGCGCGATAAGCAGTATCCTGTTCTAGATTTTGGCAAGAAGGGGACTTAGATTGATGCCCCGATAATTGTCCGTCTTGATGAGGTCCCCAGACTTGGGAGTTGGGATGATATTGATGATACTCCAGAGCGCTGGTAGTTCTTCAGTATCGTGCTCTAATTTATAAAATTTAGAGCGATATCATTCACGGGGACATGTTTCAGGACTTCCCGGGTTACTCTGTCCTCACCGCAGCACCTGCCACACTTTGATGCTGTTCTTGACCTTCAGGTATTCTTCGATGTAGAATGGATCATGAGCACAGGCGTAGCCAGGAATTTGGAGCAGGGGGGGCCAAGTGTGACCGGCCTTTACCAACCTGAATGCGAGCGCGAAGCCCTTACGGCGTGGGGTCCGGGGCCCGCTTAAGGGCCCCGGGAAATTTTTGATTCTAGATGCTCTGTGGTGCAATCTAAGGCATTTTTTGGCCACTTTCTTCTGACTCTGAATCAAATTTGCTCGTGTTTACAACTTTAAGGTTAGATTTTAAGGGGGGTGGTGGTGACTGGTATGACTGGAATGCTGCTGTTGTTCAATTTTAACGTGTTTTTCGATGGGGTTACGATCGAGAATAAGCTTTATGTGGCCTCTCTGGACTCCCATATATTTGCACTAAGTTTAGTCAGGCACCATTTGCAGTCATCAGCCGACATTTGAAGAAAAAAACGGTAAAAAAATAATTTAGCCGCGTCGTCGCACCACTTTTTGGGCAAGCCCCATACCAGAAACCGGAGACTTTTTTTTGGCCTTAGTATAGTTCGTTTTTTTTATTCGGCGAAGCGCGCGCAAGCGTTGACACGACGAACACGGTGCGCCCGGTTGCTATAACTTCGTCGGATCGGTGCGCGACATGGCGTAGCTAGCTGCAATCGGCTAGTGAGAACGTGTCTCGGACGCTGAATTCAGGCCCAATTCAAAACATGAGTCAACAACTTTTGATTTGAAATCGAGATCCTAGAATGTTGTTTTTCTCGAAATATACAGCTGAAGCTGAGCTGAAACTTCATCAGGTTAATTGTTCAGCACCCTTCTTTAGATTTTGAGCACTTTTGTTTCTTTAAACGAACAAAATGCACAAAGTTGCAAAATACTATACCTTCAACATTACGTGCATGCTATGAATAAAATAATGTAAGTCTAAGCGTGCTAACTATTAAAGACTTCGGTACGTGTACATGGATATGTACGTGTCACGTACGTAGCATTTTTTATTTCGGACTACACATATTAACATACTCGTATAGTTTCGTTTAAAATAGAATTCGCGTTTTGGTAAAAATCTATTTTAATATTTGTACATTATATAACATTCCTGTTTTTTTTGCGTTCTTTTTTTCCTTTTTTTTTTTTTACCACACACAGCAGGGGGGGGGGGGCATGGCCCCCCTGGGCCCCCCCTTGGCTACGCCTATGGGCATGAGACTTTGCCTTTTCTTCAGCTGCAGCTGGTCATGTGAACAGCACATTCCACTGATGAAGATCCAACTGCTCGGCCCAGCTGGGGTTTGAAATCAGCGTTTACCTTCTCGTAGGTGGGCTGTCATCCAAGGGTGCGAGCCCGAACAACCCGTGTTTGGAATCAGAGTTTCTGTCTCCTAGGTGAACTACCTCCCAAGGTTAACGAGCTCCACCTCCCCGGAGCAAACTGGTTTAAGGCGCAAGAAACTCGCCTTCACACCCCTGCCCTCTGTTCTAAACGGGGATCGGCACGTGAAGGCGGGCAGTAGGAGTTTGAGTTAATAGAAGAGGCTCTTTGAGACGCTGATCATATTGGACATGAAGAGAAGTGGCTCAATCTTCCTCACCGCCCCGATCATTTTAAGACCTTTGACCACAAACAGCTGCAGTTGGATGTGTTTATATAGGTCACGATAAGTTACCCAGAATTACATCCCCACTTCATTCACAAGATTTCGTGAAGCTCATAAGCCCTTCCCAGACAGGGCGGATGTACGAGCGAATATACTCGTATGAAACTCAGACACGGAAATTTCAGTTCGCCCGTTGGTTCTTGGCTTTATAAGATCCTTCTTCAAAGTACAATAAAACTAACGTAACCCACCAAGAATGTTGATTAATGTTTCGGGGAATTTGAGTTGTCCATCCAATATAACAGTGTCAAACTTTGCGAGAGTCACTTGTTCACCGCAAACAATATTTACGCTGCCATGTTTGTTTCTGTTTTATGCCCTCGCTTTGATTTGCAAGACGGCTTGCTACCTTGATAAAGGTCTATTATCTGCAGGATGTCGAGTTTTTTTGTCGACATCTTACGTATATGCCGTCTTCCCGCGATAAATTTATTTCAGTATCTCAACATTTGTTTATGGCACCTCCGGATCTCCGTCCGTATTGCTGGAACAGCGCCTCGCTGCAGCGTGAAATGATGTTCACCACCTGCCCTTCAGGCGTGTGCTTTACCCCCTCCCCCCTCCCCCCAACAAAATCCTGGCGACGTCCATGCGCAAATTATCATTGGATAGCTGCTGTATCAACTTAATCGCGTTCTTTGTTCATCCTTACTTCACAGGTGCCTTCAAGTACGTGAATCATGCTGCGTTCGACGGACTAACATTTGAGGGGTTTCAGCAGAGCAAACCATCAGAGGCTTGGATAAGAATGATGAAGGACTCAACGTCAGCAGACAACGTGGCCTATCCAGGTAGGAATTTAGACATGGTTCGAGTTAATTTTTTCAGATATAAATGGATTTGGAGGATTAGTGTGTTATAGCAAATACGGTTAAACTGACTTGTTTCATGTTTTGGGCTTGAATCATGTTCTTGTAGTCTGGTTCCCTAACCCAACTTGAGATGAAATGGATCAAGTAATAGACTTTCCGAATTGTAAGGTTTGAAAATCAGTCTAGAACGCGTGTACCCCTGTGTAATCAATGTAAAAGAAAATGCGGAATAATTGAATACGAAAAGTTAGGAGCACTTTAAAAAAAATCTGGTCGGCCGACCAGCGTTGGAAAAATACAACTTTTCTTCAAAATGTCAGCACACCAGGAGCCACGATTTTGCAGGATGCTTTAGACTGTCATTCCGTAACATCCAGTAACTTATTTTGGGATAATTTGATCATTTCGTTTTTTTGATGTTTGCAATTGTTGTATCTTCCCTTTAATTGAAGAATATGCGTTATCGTAATCGTTTACCGCATTGAACCTATATGCCATTATAACAATTACAAAAATAACCACATGTAGAGGAACAATCTGCATATCTCTCTTACCCGCGATTAAAACCTGGGCTTTTCCAATTAAGGCCTATAAATTGCAACAGATCGCTGTAAAACAAAGCAATCATAGATATTATATCAATCGCAAAGGATCACAGACAACCAAAAATAGTCGCAGGCATTGAACAGCAATTGCATCGGATAAGCCTTTTATATCCGTGAAGATATTTTCATTTCTTTCGGTGATGTTCGGATCTATAACTACTGCAATGTATTAGCCTTTTGATCATATACAGCATTGGCAAGCAGTTAATAATCACGAGGTCAAAGTTCAATATTGACCAGAGCGAGTGAACAGACATCATTGCGCTGCTCAAGTTCAATTTCGAGTTTAAGTCATTTTCTTTCAAATCCTATCCAAAAGGTGGCTACACTGAAATTGCAACAAATACTGGGAAGCCATTGGCTCCCTGGCTGCCGAAAGATGACAAAGGTATCTTCATCATCACATCATTTAAGGTGAGTTTACCCGTAGGCCTACCCTGTTTTTATCTATTAAAGCAAAATAACACAAAAGGGCCTAATGTTGCAAAATAAAGACATCTCATTTCGGGGTCCACTCATCAGTCCAACGCCTCATAGGTCCGACTCCTCATAAGTCCGACAAAATCGCATCCCCCAACCAAATAAAGGCCCATAAGTCCGACGCCTCATAAGTCCGACGCCTCATACAGGCTGGTTAAAAAAAAAGGACACCCACATTTGACAGCAATTTTCACCTATTTTTAAAAATTATTTTTAACTGTCGATTAGTAGCCATTAAAGTACTGGCCGTTAAGCAAATGTGACGAAAAAATCGTTGCATTTGCACATTTTGTCGTTGAGCTATGCTAATTTGATCATTTCATGTGCGAAACCTGTTTGTCCATGGAGGTATACATTCCCTTCGCTTGACTGAGCTCAGCTTTCGGAGCTTTTGAAAGGGCATGGCATTTGATTGTTATGTTATGTAATGTTAAGCAACAATGAACTTAAGCCGACAGCTCATTGAGTAGATGATCTTAACACTGACATGAATAATTGGACAGCTTAAAAAAATAGTTACCATGCATTTTTTCACAATGCATAGTTAAAGGCCTATATTTTACTACTATGTGAAAATTTTTTTTAAAATAAGTTCATTAAGTAGGTAAAAATTGCTGTCAAAAGTGGGTGTCCTTTTTGTTGAACCACCCTGTAGCTCCGACGCCTCATAGCTCCGACGCCCCATTAGTCCGACAAATTAAATGCCTCGTTTTTCCGAAGTCAGACTTATGAGGCGTCGGACTTATGAGGCGTCGGTCCTATGAGGCGGAATAAATAAATTGTATGCCTCATAAGTCCGACGCCTCACAAATCCGAAATTTCGGACTAATGAGGCGTCGGACTTATGATACGGCCCCCTCATTTCAAATGTCTTTATTCTCCGTATTGTCATGATGCATGTTTGTTTTTCATGATATTTCAATAAGTCCCTTTTTAATTTGTAACCATGAATCGCAAACAACGCCGAATATGCTTGTATTGATTAAACACTTTGTCCAGGCCGCTGATGAAAACGATGCCAAGCTTCAGGAAACCTTCGAGAAAGACTGGATGGAATCTTCGGGCGCTAACTTCATCCTTCGGAAGGCTCCCAAAGATCTCGGTATATCTCATTTGGGTCTCTACAAGAAGTTCACTAAGCGCCCTGGATTGCTGTACGTCCTCCGTGCGGAACTGGAAGGTGTAGGAGAGGATTCGGAGGCTGCAAGGAGCTTCCTAAGTCAGTTGAAGGCCTTCAAGTTTCCTGATTACTTCGAGCTTGTAGATACCGATCTGCACAGGGCTGACCCCGAAAATATCATCTTCCCCGACGCAGGAAAGAAAGATCTCCCTGAAGGATATAGTTATAAGCCTTAAAATCCTCTTAAGGATTGAAATACAAAATGCAGATCATCACGTCATAAATCTTTGACAACCTATGTCTGCATACTTTAAAGGCCTATAGGTTCTATCTATTTGTCTACTATAAGCTTTGGAATATGGCGGGAAAAAAAAACTTTACAGTGTTTGATTCTCTGGTAGTTTTTTTAAATTTCTCAACTCAAGTCACCGATGAAGCCAAGAAGTTGTTGCATTTGGCGGAACTCTGTTCGGCCCTAAGTAAACAATTGCGCGTTTGCTTCGTAATACAAAAAGCTTGTTCGACAGTACTACAAAGAGTAAAAGGAATTTGTTTTGCTTGACAAACCTGCATCGTCTGTTTTTCTTTTTAGTTCAGGTTTATTTTGGGTCACTTGTTAATTGAAATAGTCGTTCGTGTATGATGCAGATTTTTTTCCGGTGGAAAAACTGTTTTTCTATTTTAAACGTATTCCATGAAACCCTGAGCTACATTTGTTTGTTTAAAGGGTTATAACTGTATGCCCTAACTAGAACGATTTGTGGTAAACGATGAAAAGCTATTTTAGGTCTTCCTGTTTAGTATAATGAAAAGATTGTACTTGTTTGCGAAACGAAAAAAATAATGGCCAGGCTGTGGTCCTAAATTTCAAAGCCTCGAATGAATCTTGGTAATGAGTAAAGGCCAGCCGGACTAGCTTTCGTGACATTTCTACAATTGTACGATGTAAATTCGACCAGATTATTATAGGTCATGGTTTTTCCACTAGCACCGTGCGACGCGTTCATACTGTAACGTCTCTCTTGGGTGGGGCACATTATCAATCAAGAGTCAGATAAGATACATCTTACACACACTATTCTATACAATGTGTAGTTTGGGCGTACATGATTATCTGTGTACAGTCAGGGTTCGGTCTTAACTTGTTTTTGTTCTCTAGCCAGCCGGGTTACTCAAACAGACTCTTCTTAACTAGCCAGCCGGCATTTTCACTGGCCTGCGTGTTTTTTTTCTTTTATAGAGTGTCTCATAAACAAAAATGTGCATATAATGTAAAACATGTATAGAGCCTGAAAGTTGATCCCTGGTGGCGCGCTTGGCCCCTCGAAAACGAAATGTAACCTGTAAAAGTCCGAGATTTTGAAATTAGTTTTGGTACATTGATTTCTTAAGAATACCACCCTCGGAATTTTATGGAAACTGAAAAATCGCATGTCGTGAAAGAGAAATATCGTGCCAAAAATTGACCTCTCACTTACGAAAAGTTTCGTGTGTATTGTGGAACTCGATCACTCGTTCAAGCATGTACATTTATGAACTAATTTTGTGGCGGTCATTAGGTAAAAACTTCAACTTAAACTGGAGACTCGTTTTTGTTTTCTTATTTTTGTTTTGTTTTAATATTTTGTGAATGTTTGCTGTTTGTATGTGTTTCTTAATGCCGAATAAAAAAAAATAATAATAAAATGTCTTTTGGGACGGATTTTTTTGGAATAAACTTGAAGGAGTTATTTTCATTGACAAACAAATCAAAAATGACCGTTAATAAGAACTGTATTAAAAAGAGCCAAACGAGCCTGAATTAATCTAGAATCCATGCATCGGATGTACGTAGGCAAATCTTTGCGTATCATTTTCGTTCTCACGCAAGTACGCGATGTGAAAACAGACGTTATCCGACATGGCGACCTTGGAACGAAAATATGTTGTAAGTAAAATTCGTTTTCACCCATTTCCTACTGATTTCTAGTCTATTCTGAGGGAATTTTGTCAGTGTTTTCAATAAACAGATCTAATAATTTAACCCTTTAAAACAGTTGATCAAATTATACCCAAACTGATACAAGTTTGCTTTCAGAATTTTCATTTATATTTCTTTCTATCCTTTCATCTTTGCAGTATCCCAATATTTTTTGATTCGCCAGCCGGGCTACTTAAGGAATAGTTTGACCAGCCTGCCACTGTTTACTAGCATTTGGCTAGCGGGCTACCGCTAATTTCGAACCCTGAGTACAGACAGAAGTTTATGGCAAGTGAGCGGCCAGCTCAATAATCTATAGTCTGGTTCCCAGACCAAAAGATTCTGACTATTCCTGATGAATCTTAGGTCAGGCAGCCGTCAGTAATACATTGTATTACAAATAACGTCACGTGACTAAAACGGAAGGAATTCCTCCTTTTTCCGAAAATGTCCGAAGTTTGCAGAATTCGTTTCGTCGACAATCGGATAAGCGCCCGAGTATTTCCGAGTACTGCTTATTGCTTATTAAAAACTTTACAAAAACGAGTTGATAATTAATATTCATTGCTTTTATTTAGAAAACTTTAATTTCAACGACGATTTTGTACTCGGATCGTATATGAGGGGCGAACTTTTTGCTGCGTCATGTACAATTTTGAATTGGACGACCGTTACGGGCAATTTCCAAAACTCGGCGTGGTCTTCATTCGGCTCCACCTGCTAACAGTTCTATTTGGGTGCCTAACTTTGAAGATTCCAGGTCAACATTAGTCAATGTTCTCTTACACTGTATTAAACTGTATTATCATAATTGTATTATGAAGCAAGTGATTTATTTAAAAATTTGATCGTAACATTAAAAGCTATAAGTGATAAAGCGAAATCGGAAACGAAGCCGGGTTTTTAAAAAAGGGCCGTCAATGTCGTCATGTTTATTTTTAGCCACGGAGGCTGCCTGACCTACAATTTAGACTAGAGCATCGTGAATAATTGTCAGGTCTAGGGAACAGACTAAAATCTACGTGTACATGGTAGGAGCTCTGTGTGGATCAGACAGAGCTGCTACGACCAGTAATGTAATGATGGACCAATAATGTAATACCGACCAGTAATGTACTGATGGACCAGTTATGTAATACCGACCAGTAATTTAATAATTTCTGCCAGTAATGTAATAAATGAAGCGAACAGTAATGTAATAAAAGTTGACCAGTAATGGATAAAAAAAAGCGACCAGTAATGTAATAAAAATTTACCAGTTATGTAATAATCATAGATTTCTTTACCATTTTTGAAAATTTATGAGGAACTCTGTAATTTGTGCGAGTAATTTGAGTGGACAACCCAATTTCTGTTTGACACCGTTCTGATAAATCTGAGTAAGTGTCTTTCTTTTTTTCCGGACAACAATTCTCCGCGATTTATGGTGTGAAGTTGGCGTGGATGGGGTTCTTGGGGAGTGGGCGGTATGAATCAGAATAAAGTTTGTCTTTTACCTCGTTTTTGGCCTCCCTGACCAACCCACCGACTTGCTTGTCAGTTTTGACGTCGTCTTACTCTTCACTAATTTTGTCCCCACATGCGAGGCCTGCAAACTAGCTAAGGAAAGACTTGAACATGATACTTCTCTTGATGAATGCACAGACATGTCCCCCGACCAAATTCATGATCTGTTACTTACATGTATTTCTTCCAGTTGTTTTCAGTGGCAATTAAGGTAGTATAAAAGGGCATTAGTATAAAGAGCATTTAAACGTAGAATAAAAACTGGGCGTTTATGTGTTATTCTTGCAACCGTCGTGTGTTTTTCGTCTTTCATTCTCGGAAACAGTAAACTGGGTAAGACATCAGTTTTGTTTTCCTTCCACCATGCAGACCTTTGAAAAAGTCTTAGTAAAGAATCAAAAACTTAGATATTTTAAGGGATTTGAACCTCGAACACAGTATCCAAAATTTTCGAACTTTAAGCTCTGGTACAGAAATACGAAATCCGAAAAGTACACAATACGCATGAAGTATTGTTTGAGCGGGAAATCCAGGGTTGCAGAATTCACCGTGTACTTGTACATGCATGTACGTGTACATGGCACCTGTTTTATTCAATGACCATGACTGGACTATAGTATCGTCGCGGGTCACGACCTCTATTCCTAGACACCATTCATCTCGCACCACTGCACTTTACGACTGCACGTAGGCACTTTTTATTTCGATTCCCGCGCACGGCAAAAATGGCAGGCACTGCAAAACTGTATTACATTTGGAACTTCTTCGAGAAGATCGAACCGGCTGGATTCGTAGGCGCTTGGTTACAAGCAGGCAAGTATGTGCAGAGAAACAAGGACTACATCTCAACCCAACTCCATCGCAACTTGAACCCTAACGGTAAGATAATAGTAACTATGTTCAATCTAATCATGATCGCATACAGCCATAGGCTAATATGTGCATGCATGGGAAGGACTTCCGTACATGGCCATCATTTTTCCCTGTAAAGACCTATCAATCATCAGAAAGCGATAACATATCCTTAATAGTCAAATTTAGCGGGGAAAATATTGAAGCATTCGCATGTACTCGGAAAACCAGACAGACTAGTCTCAGGGTTTGTGCACAGGTTGTTAAGTAATGTCCTGGTATGGAATTTTCCCATGCATGTTAGTCCGGTCAGTATTTAGAACAAAACGTGACCTGACCTAGAACACATTTCAATATATATGAATTTATTTTAATGCTATCATGCTAAGGAAATGTCACTATCTAGCATGATTGATACTAAAAATCTAATTTCACCAAAGGAGTGGAAAATTGCTTTTATTTACTTGTTCGCTACTTATTTCTCAGCATACGTAAACAGCCGTATGGGGGGGGGGGTTATGTTTTCTTTTGCGTCCGTTACCCGTTAGAAAAGCAGTTCACATCACGTATGAGACTTCGCGGGACACGACTGATCACAGCAGATCAGATGACTTTTGTATACGCCCATCAATTATTAAAATTTATGGTAATTTACACTGCCGCGCAATACTATAAGATATTTTCTTGAAACAAATCAAGAAACTTGAGTTTTTTTTAACTGCCTGAATTATTTATTGGTCAAATAAATCACTTTGTACTCAATAAACCATTTGTTTCGGGGAAATGCATAAACAGGTCTACTTCAAACAAGAGCGGGAAATGATATATATATATAAAGAGAACAATTTAAAGTAAATTTTCAGGTGTCTGCGCGAATAGGCGATTCCGATTTTAAATATTGGGGAAAGTATCCGAATCAGAGATTCACGAGTGTGTTCCTTTTGTAAGGAATTTAGGTCATTGGCATAACTTATAAATAAAATATATAATTGTCAAAATAAATTAATGTTCAATAAAAAAAAAAACCTTAATAAAGACAAATTAGTGGGATTAAATTCTTGGAGTGAAACTTCAGCTGAATTCTTGGCTTGATAGAGAAAAGAAATTAGGCAGTGTGACAAGTGTATTATATACCTCTACAAATAATAAACGTGCCCCCAGATCCAATCAGAGATTCGTGTGTTCCTTTCGTAAGGAATTTATGTCATTGGCCTTACTTATAAATAACATATAAATTGTCAAAAAAAATAATGTTCACTCCAAAAAACCTTAATAAAGACAAATAAGTGGGATTAAATAAAATCTTCGAGTGAAAATTCAGCTGAATTCTTGGTTTTAAAGAAAAGAAATTAGGCAGTGTGACAGTGTATTATATACCTCTACAAATGATTAATGCGCCCCCAGATCCAAGCCGTTGCCCGGGGGGGGGGGGGCCGCACCATGCCATTGAAATAATTTGTTTTAAGTAATAACAACGCGAGATTGGTTTAATCAAAATAGTCATTAGTAGTTGGGACTCAAGTAGGCCTATACTTCTCTGGAGTAGCGCATTTCACTATACACAATTAATGTACTGTTTAAGCATCACAACCTGAGCCCAGCATTTCCTGAATTTTCTTTATTGACCAAATCCATCACATCATTTTCAGGCGCTCAATCAATAATCTTTAAATGAAGATTGTTCGCTTTACTTTCAAAACGGTCAATGCATGCACTGTCTGACTGTTTTACATCTGTGTATGATCAAAATGATTTTTAGACATCTTAATCGTATGTCGACTGTGAACTCAGTTATTGTGCACTTTAGGCGGAAAATCTTCCACTCTATCCGTAGTGCCCTGTTATGACTTGAACAGTGTGCTGCTCTCGCATGTGGTCATGAATCCTAAACATTAAATAGCTTATTATATATAATAGGCATGTAAATCGAAGCAAGTCACCAGACGAACTGTTTGAGGACAAAATGTCCCAATTGTTTTTATCTTTTAAAATGAAAAAAAAAAACCAAACCAAACAAACAAACAAACAAACAAACAAACAAACAAACCAAAAAACCCTTCCACTCCATAGAAACAATTTGACTTTTTACATGTTTGTGTATTTATTTGAAGTTATTTGACGCTTGGATGATTTCTATTTCAATTTATTCTAGGTCTTAACTTAAATTGACCGAACTGTGTTGCCGGGATGCGGACTCGATGTTTCTAGTCAATGAGACACAAAAAAACCCAGTCCTGGACTTTCAGGGTTTTGTGTGCAATAGCACAATGCCCAAAGAGAGACGAGCGGCAAGGCCAAAATTTGCATATATATGTACCTGGATGAGTGCAATACAAAATTGCAACACTACATATACAGTGCGAAACGAGAGGCAAGGCCAACATTTGCATATATATATATGTACCTGTATGAGTGCAGCACAAAATCGCAACACTACATGTACACACAGTGCGGAAACACTGCATGCACTTTGGACTTTCCAAAACGGAGGCGCGCATGCACGCCGCGACGGTGGGTTTTTAATGGGCGGGTTCTGGGGGAACCAGCATTTTAAAGAGGGCATCAAGGGCACATTTTTTAACCTAAATTTTCGGCGGCAGAGAGGCAATCCGATGATTAATGCAGCAAATTCAAAATTTGTGGGGGTGGGGGAGAGAGAGGTGCTGGAACTCAATTAACGCCATGGGGACGTTCTTAACTTCAGCGCACAGCTGGGCCGGGCGCATGCAATTTACTAGGGTATTTATATGGAAACAAGCTGATTTACCCGATCATAGATCGGGTAGGGCGTAGTGTTGGGGATGAAATGTGGGGAGTTAAATGTAAATAGGGGATATAGTTTGGGAGACATGCAGTTATAGAAAAGCAATTTCTGTGGTGTGATCTGCGAGGCAATTTCTGACCACTAATACCAATTTGAGCAAAAGATAATCTTTTAAAGTTTTGAGTTTTGAGTAATTGAATCAGCTACATGTATATGGATCCTTCATCTTGCCTTCAAAGTAGTCTGGGGGAAATATAGCAAGATTTCAGGTATGTTAAAATGTGCATGTCAGCAAATAGGCCAAACTTGCAAACGATTTGCATGCCCTCAATGTTCTCTATTTGAGCTTTTGTGGGCCATGAACGTGACAGTTTGTATAAAACAGAGGTCGGAAGCCGTGAACTGTACTGCAAGCTTGTATATGTATGTGACATTTTGTTGAAATTGGGCTCTAAAATTGCTCTATTTTGCAATGTAACGTAGGCATCATTTTTCAAGATGGCGATGGGCTTCCTGACTACGTTTAGTGCAGTGATCATCTTTGGATAGAGATTTCTTCAAGAAGGAAGAATTTCCCCAATGGAGTTACCCCCAAAAATAACAAAAAATGAAAGATGACGAATTACGATTTTATGTGATGTGTGTTTCAAAAACCTTAGAGAGTTGTGAGTTTTTTTATGTGATTTGGGGATTTATCACTGGGGCTTATGGCGGTTCATTTATTGGTCGGCACCCATAACATTGCGGCCACACTCATATAGCTCGTTAGTTGCAAGTTAAAATCTACGTGAAGTCTTGTCATTGAGAGACTAGCCTGCGACTACAATGTGCATCCGAGCCGTACGTGACACACGATCTTGATAAATCGATCTATTTGAGAAAGGAATTAAACAAAATTTTACCTGAACTTTCGAATGAAATACTCGAGTTTCAGACGGCCAATTCTTTACAGATGTTCAAGGTGCATTAGATTTTCCTGGAAAAACAACATGCGAAAGAAAGAGGGTTGGCGGCCTTTTTATGTTTTTGTATGAAGCCATGTTTTTTATATGTAAATGAACAGGTAAATGAACAAGTACAGGTCACATAAAGATGACTTCCGTCTGGCCTTTATAGCCTTAAGCGTGTCATCCACTATTACGCTCAACAAGAGACCTATCATCGAGGATGATGACAATTGCAATGGGCAGCTGTTAGTTAAGGCCGTTATCGAGGTTATGAAAAAAGATTGAAGTTTGAGACCGTGGCCAGCAGACAAGTTTAAACGACAGCTAGTCTGGTAAAGTGTAACAGTGCGCTGCACTTTAACATCACTGCGGAAGGAATACTAAAGATGTGTGACACTAATAGTACGGAAGACATAATAAAACATCTACGAAAGCGGCTCTCTTGAGTCTTAGCCAAAGAGAAAGAAAGGAAACGGCTAACTAAAGTCTAGCATGAAAAGACTATAGCAAGAAGGTTCTTGAGCCAAAGATGACTTGTTATTTTTATATTGTGGTTCATTGAAACACTGCTTATGCCCACAGGCTGAATTTCAAGACAGTTTACATCAAACAATATCCACTGAAGAATAGATGAGGTAAAAACCACAGAGGGTGTAAGCACAAAAAATACAACCCAGAATGAGTATGCCAATCAAAAAATGTTTGTTTGTACCTGACCCTTTGTCGACGACCGCATAAATAACTAGCAATCCATTGCACAATAGCTGGTGATACACCTTACTACAGAAGTTCAACTGTCAATAGCATTTTCATAATTCACCATTTCAAAGGCTTTAGTAAACTTTGTTAGCACACCGGGCCCATACTGGAATTTGTATCCTTGTGGAGTCATTTCTTTGTTCTCGTGTACTAAAGTTTTCGAGTTTGAAAATGTAGTTTCAAAATGCTCCTATTTTAACCAGAATTAATTTCCTGGGCTGAAATTCGGACTTAATATCCCTAACATAAAGTACTTCAATTTGCGACGGATCAACACACCTAGGAAATGCCTAGTTTTTGAGTAAAATCCATATATCCATTTCGTGATAACGTTGTGGAGACGTTCCCTATTGTACCCATGTCTCCACAGGGTACCGTGTAACAGATCAAGAGTACTGTAAACGTTATTTGGAATGCAAGCATCAGAGACTTCGCTGTGATTAATATCAACCAGGCAATGAGTAGTGGATATTCCTTGCTGATTGCCATATTGCCTTTTATCGACATTAAGTTGGATGGAGTTCATGACCCATTTACGAATTTTGCCAGCAGTGGGGTAAAAATATGGGCCTCAGTTTATGTAAAGTAGGTGGGAATTTGCTTAGGTATGGGAACAATGTTGGCTTATAGGACATCGGGTGTAAAATGTGAGCTGGATTTCCATTGATGTTAAAAAAGAAGAATACACCGAGACATGAATTTTAAAAAAGGAATGAAAGAATGAACGAATAAATCAATAAAAAGGGGGTTGGGGGGTTGGTAAAGTAGATCTGTCAGTGAAGAGGGTAACATATCTAGATTGAGCAATGCTTATCAATAATTATTTTAGAGAGTACAATAGTTATGTTATATAGGGGCGATTGCTCAAAAGTCTACAACTTTCCTGATGATCAAATATGGAAACCAGCTTCAAGGGTTTTGCCTTGAAAAATAAATCCGCATTTTATTTTTATTATTTATTATGAATAAATAATGTTCAAAGTATAACCCATTGCTCATAACATGAATAGAATATTTATGTGATCTCCTTCAATTTTTAAACAAAAAAACGCTTTACATTACATTTAATAAGCTGTATACTAAACAGACAAATACGGAAATTCTTAAAAAAGCAATATACAGTCATTTAACATTTAATTAATTAGTTTAATAATTAATTACAAAAATATATTTGTTTAACTTTAAACAATCCTGTTGAGAATAAGCCATAAACAATAATACACATGATGCCAAGTGAAAAGAATGGGGGGAAATTGTTCACACCATCTCTGAATCCGTACATCATTACATGTTCCTGTACAGTAAGCTCACTAGCATAATACCGTGAAAAAAGTTTTTAGGCACTTTTAGGCATTTATTTATTTATTTATTTATTTATTATTTGTCCTTAGAGATTGCCATCCAAGAGTAGGTAAAAGAATGTCTATGGGGGATATCGAGGGAGGCCCAGGATAGTTCTACCAGCATTGTTTTATCTCGAACAGCACAAATTTATCTCGGGATTTCAACATCTTTGTTGAAACCTCCAGATCTTCGTATACATGTAGTTATGGAACAGTGCCCCCAAGCGTGAATGATGTTCACCACCGTCGCTACTGGGCGTGCTTCGCCCCATCTCCCCTCCCCGAACAAAATCCTGCAGCTGGCGATGCCCAAATGTTATTATAGGGTAGGTGATATATATCATTCAGTCAACCTAATTGCGTACCTTGTCCATCTTAACTGCACAGGTGCCTTCAAGTACATAAACCATGCTGCATTCGACGGACTCACCTTTGAGGCCTTTCAGCAGGGCAAACCATCAGAGACCTGGATAAAAATGACGAAGGAAGCATCAGCAATTATACAAGTGGCCTACCCAGGTATTAAGACTCCAGACACGGTTCATTTCAGATCATAACAGTAAAGATTGGCTTTAACTCGAGAGTAGTCATTTACCACAATTAACTTATCCACTCGTTATTCATTAAAATATAATCACAATATTGTTGTCATGAAGAGGAAAATCCTGCACATCTCCTTGACCCCCGCCTAAAACCCGGGTTTTTACAATTTTAAAGGCCCCAAAAGTGCAATTCACGCTGACAGATCATTGTGAAACTAAGCAATCATAGATTACTGAAGGCAAAGTCTCATATTCCAAACGACTTTTTAATTATCGGCATCGGTGCCAACATCTTTATTTTCATCAGTCCAACTTTATTCATTTCCCATACCTTCTCACACTCATCTGCCAAGCAAATACCTAATAGTCTTCACTTTATTGCCTTTTGCTTTCGTTATTTTGATACCTTATATAAAGTTGTTATGGTAATAATATTTTGCTAATATTTCTATTTATTTTGTCCATTGATTGAAATACATTTATTTTAATTATTTATCAATCGTTTGGTTGAATTCAATAAGACAATTCTCCTTAAAAACACAAAAGAATGTAATGTAATTGAATTTATTTGAATTGAATCATGAGGTAATACTTCAATATTGACCAGTGAACAGACATCATTGAGCTGCTCAAGTTCAGTTTCGAGTTTAACTCAGTTTCTTTCAATTCGTTTCTTAAAGGTGGCTACACTGAAATTGCAACAAATACTGGGAAACCATTAGGTCCCTGGCTGCCGAAAGATGACAAGGGCGTCTTCATCGTCACATCATTCAAAGTGAGTTTTACTCGTGTTCTATTGCTAAATTATTGGCCTAACCAATGTAACAAAGAAAAGCCATATCATTCCAAATGTCTTTGTGTTCCATAGTGATGCAAGCTTGATCTCATGACATTTCAGTATAGGTCCTCTCCAAATACTGGAACCATAAAACTGTCAATTATTGCCCAGATAAGGGTTGAAGGTTTGCGATGCGAAGGTGGCCATAACTTGGGTTAACGGTAGCACCATGTGACAAATTTCTTTTGTGGGTTTGTGAGGTTCTGCCCCCAAAAAGAAGAAAACCGGGGGAAACCCAACTTTTCAGGCATTAAGCTCTGCCCGTCGTCATTATTCTGAAGGGATTCCAACGGTGAAGGGAGGTTATGGTATGACTGGAAGCAGTAAAGCAGGTGAATGATGCAATGCTTTTGCCTTTGCATAACTATAATGGTATTGGCTAAACGTTTTTGTCCAGGCCGCTGATGAAAACGATGCCAAGCTTCAGGAAACCTTCGAGAAGGACTGGATGGAATCTTCGGGCGCTAACTTCATCATTCAGAAAGCTCCCAAAGATCTCGGTATCTCTCACTTGGGTCTATATAAGAAATTTACTGCGCGTCCAGGATTGAAGTACGTCCTCCGTGCAGAGCTGGAAGGTGTTGGAGAGGATTCGGAGGCTGCAAGGAGCTTCCTAAGTCAGTTGAAGGCCTTCAAGTTTCCCGATTACTTCGAGCGTGTGGATACTGATCTGTACAGGGCTGACCCCGATCATATCGTCTTCCCCGAAGCAGGAAAGAAAGATCTCCCTGAAGGATATAGTTATAAGCCTTAGAATTCCATTAAATTAGGATCTAGTTGAAAAATAAAATCTAGAACATCTCTTAAAAAATCTTATGAAGTGATTTTGACGTCGGATGACTGCATACTATCTTTTTATATAGTTGTAGGTGCAAATCTGTCTTTGTGTGTAGTATACATTTTAACATGACGTATTTGGCGGAATTTTAAGCAAAACAAATGCGCGTTTGCCTAGTATAATATAAAAAAGCATGTTTGACAGTACAAAGAGTTTGAAATACAAAGAGTTAAAGGAATTTGACAAAACTGCATCCTCAGTTTATTTTTAGTTTAGAGTTTTTATGAGTCCCCACTTGAAATAGTTCGACTATGATGTAGAAAATATTTTATTTTTCAAGTGGAAAGCCTGATTTCTATTTTTAATGTATTCGTAAAACGGCTGCTTTCTTCGTTTACAGGGTTATAGCTGTCTGAACTAGGATGATTTATGTAAACTGATGAAAAGCTTTAGCGGTAAATTAAATTAGGTCGTCCTATTTTAAGCTTGTCAGTCATATTAATGCATAATGGAAAAAGACTCGTTCGCGAAACGAAGTAAAAAAAAAAGTATGGCAACGTTGTGTTCATAAATGTCGAAACCTTGATTAGATTTTGGTGATGAGTGAATGCCTATTGGAAAGAAACTTTTTCCCTTTATCGATAAACCAATCCTAAGGAAATATTTGAAGTTAATGGGCATTATAGTATTTGTTGTCGCTTTAAGCATAACACAGAATAATTAGGTGTTGGGCCTTCAGCCCAACACTTATTGTTATTGTAAGAATTTACTATTCTTCATATTTTTATTCTTCTCAGCAAATTCTCCTCCAGAACTGTTTGTCAAAATGAAACATATGTGAACTTCAATTGTCAATACACGAATGCACATCTTGAAAGATTTACAAATTTAATCTTTGAAAATCAATGAGAAATCACCCGTGAGAAATCGGAACTTGAGTTTCACGGGAATCGATATGATAATACATGATCTTCATTTTATCTTGCGCGTGCAAAATCACGTAACCCTTCCTTCCAGTCCAAACTGGAAGTGATTTTTAATTCTAAAGTGGAAAAAGATGTGAACTTGCTTTCAACGATGTTAGTCTTTGGCTATGTTGACCTTTCCAATAAAATTACCCGTGACATCATAAAATGTTAGAGCGCCCTCTAGCGGCAGGTTGAAAAATGTTTAAATGAATAATCATTTGATGTTTGTGGCGAAGTTTGTGATAATCGCTTCAATTGTCTTAATGCAGACAAGACCTGTTTTCGAAAAAAAATAATGACGTCATCGGACCGGAAGTTATAATAAAACGCCCTTTAAACCATTAAAAATTTCAAAAAAATCAACCTCGAGAGATATAATCAAGATTTGGCTATATATAGCACAGTTAACATAGCTATTGAGCTTTCTGGTAATGCCGTCACGATGACGTCATCAAGTATCATATTACAAGCAAGTACAGATTTCTAGATTTAATCTTTGAAAATCAGAGATTTGATTTTGTTTTTTTATGGCAATCGATAGAATATATCAGGATCTTCATTTTTGGTATAAGTGCAAAATCACATGACCCTTCCTTCCGGTCGAAACCGGAAGTGCCTTATAATTTGAAATTAGCAACAGACGTGAACTTGCTTACAACGATGTGAGTCTCTCACGGTCTAGACTGTACTTTACAAAAAATTACAGGTGACGTCATAAAATGTTAAAGCGTCCTCTAGCGGCATGTTTTAAAAAGCCAAACATGCATAAACCGGAAGTGCCTTTTAATTTGAAATTGGCAACAGATGTGAACTTGCTGTCAACATGTGAGTGTTTGCCTAGGCTGTACTTTACAAAAATATTACAGGTGACGTCATAAAATGTTAGAATGCCCTCTAGCGGCATGTTGACAAAGTCAAACATGCCTTTCGAGTTGATGTGTGTGGCGAAGTTTGCGGTTATTAATAGCCCAACACCGTGTGGTTGTTCCTACAACCTCTAGTTTTGTTTATTATTGCAGCGATTATAATGTGGAGTATAATAATGAAGGCATACTACTTCCATGGAATATTTTAGGAAAAGCCTTAATGTTTTCAGTGATATAAAATTTTCCATTGTAATGTAGCAAGTACATTCCCTGGTGTTTGTCTAAAATTGCGGCAAAACAACAAACAAATCAGACTGAACGCTTGGTGCACAGAACACAACTTAATTCACCTCTACTGGCTTCAACACGTCCTCTGGTAATCAGAGCAAAACTATAACTGTTATAATACTGGATTTTAGGTTAATGAGAAAGGACAATGTTTGTGCGAATGTTTGTGTTCGCCATGCGGGCCGCCATGTTTGTACACAGTGTATTCATACATGCATGTAGATACAGAACGTGCAGTTCATGACATCTCCCCATTTTCTAAAAGGAAATACTGGTTAACAATTAAAGGGAATCATTTGAAGAGCTAAGTGCTTTCAGTTTGAAGAATGAAAGAGTTTCCGCACTGAAATAGAGTTGCTTTTGTTCAGCTTAGTGTTTACATTAGATTAGGTTTCTTGCAGAATAAACATGTTATTGTAGTTCAGTGTCCAATAAAAGCAAACTGAAATTGCGAGTCTTTGTGTTGGTTCTCTTTTTCTCTGATTGATTCTGATTGATCGGGTAGATATCAAAACACTAATTATTGTTCAATTAATTTTAACTAAGCGACAAATCTAGTTTGGAGACACGATGTAGTCCTGATGCCAAGCTGGTACTCTGGCCACTCGAGTGGTTCGAGCGTTGGGGATCCGTCGTCTCCTTGCATGTTCGGATGTCGAGGATGGGATCTGGTGATGGTTTGGACAGCAGGATGATGTGACGTCTGTTTCGACGGTACTCGGTGCGGAGTACCAGCATGGCGTACAACTTCACCTTCTGGGCTCAACTGTCCTTTCGTTCGGATCTTAACCTTGTCTCCGGTACCGGGTTTCAAAACTTCCAGCCCTCTTGCATGGCGCAAGTTGGAGTTTCGTTTGCTCCTAATCTTGTTCAAATTGACTGCAGCCTAATTACCTGTTACCTATCCCGTAGTCTGTCTTGACAGCGGGGACACCCCTTGAAGACTTGGCAACCAGCTCCCTGCGTTCCTCTTGATCCTCAGATTTCTGAGGGAGTCACTCAGCGTCAGGGCCTGTCCACTCCGAGATGTTGTCCTCCCACCTCTTTCTCTTCCTGCCTCTCTTTCTTCCTCCTTGTACAGTGCCTTGCAGGATTGTCTTCGCAAGTTCTGATGAGCGTGATGAAATGTGCCCTTACCACTTTAATTTGCGCTTTTTCACAGAAGCCTTTAGCTTAATTGTCAAAATTGATCTTCTAGGCTGGAGATTGCGAGGCAGGATTGGAAGTGTTGTGCGTATCTCCCTCCCAATTAGAAGACTTGCTGGGCTCTGGCCAAGGCTAGGCAAAGGAGTAGACCGGTACATCATAAGGGCACGGACTGGATCATCCTAGCTTTATAACAGTCTCTTGGCAAAATGTACAGTCTTCTTTACTTGCCCGTTGGCCTGTGGGTAATGCGCAGCCTTGAGGTAATGTGTCGGAAGATGTACCCAAGAGCAAATTGGTCAAATTCACCTTAAAATGTGGACTGTTGTCAGTCACTACCACTTGCCAATGTCATTATCTAGCCATTGGGAATGCATGTAGTAGTCTACCAACACGAGATACACTCTCCCCTTCGCATTAACTAGGTCGAAGGTAATTTGCTGCCGTGGACTCTGTAATAGTTGTGTAGTCATGAAGGTGATGGTTGCATTTCCTAGCAAAGCGGGTAAGACTGGACACTGTAGGGGCTATATGTCGGTACTCATACCAGGCCACCACACAGTTTCATAGGCGATCGGAGTCGGCTTTTTGAGATGCCATGATAACCCTAATGGATTCTCAACAATATGTGTTGTCTCATGCTCCGTGGTATCACAATGCGGTATTATTAACATGTGACAAAACCACCTACTATAAAGGCTGATCTTGTCCTGGTCATCCCAGAACCGTCTCAGCTCTGGCTCAACATCTTTCTGGAACTTCGGCCATCCATCGTTGACGGAAGTGGTATGGGCGTGGCTCGTCTCTGAAGCTGTTTTGACCAGCTTTGCATCAGATGCAGGACACTGGGTAGTAATCAGGTGTACATGGGCTTCAATCTCGCTTTCCAAATCTTCACCTGGCTGCCGATTTGTCATGCTGGAGAGGGCCAGGGGCTCGTGAGAGTGCATCGCTTGTACTTCATCAGTCTCATCAGTAGTTATTGGCAACACAGGGGGGCTCACACAAGTTCTTATGGAGGACACAAGGGGTTTGAAGTCTGTCTGGAGCGTCACTCGTAGACCCCGGATATAGGTGTAGAATCGCTCACATGACCAGACAGCAGACAGTAGTTCCTTTGCGATCTGCGCATAACGCTGCTCTGCACGTGTCAGGCTTCGGGAGCAATACGCCGTAGAAGTGTGACGTCACGCGGGGTCGTCTCCTATCCGGTTCATGAGTGTGACGTCATCTCAATTCAACCATGCGTACTCCACACGGTGTAGCAAAGCACGAATGGAACCGGAAGTTAACGCAACTCGAGCGTTTATCCAATGGGTGCGAGTAATCTGTGGTGTGCGCGCGTGTATGACGTTTTTAGTAACGAACCGGATGCGAATTTTTTATTTACACAATAATACAGGGTACCCATTTTTCAGGCGACTTGAATCAAGGTAACAGGATTGTTGAGCGCCGCGTAGCGGCGCCCTACAATCCTGTAGTGCTCCATTGCCTGCTCTGCACTAATCAGATTTTGCTCTTTTTTTCAACAATCTAAAGTTTTATCTTAGAAACGTTATTTCTCAGTCGGATTGTATAGAAGCAATTTTGTTTTTCTTTTCTGATCGGAGGCTCTGGAGGATTTTTTTTTTTAAAGGGAAATAAAGTCCGAAATCCGTACCAAGTTGAAAAATAGTAGCCTCTACTCAAGCCTGGTAATGTTAACCATGCTCCATAGGAAAAGCGCACAAAGTACCCCATATAGTTGTGTAAAAAAAAAAATCGCGAACCGGATAGCGATCGTTCCAAACAACGTCTGGTTCCCAGTTTTCACCGTGCAAAACATATGGGAGATTTAGGTAAACATTTTGTAGTTGAGATTTCTTATACATTAAGACTAAATAAGACTGGAAAATGGGACAGTGTTTCGTAGCTGACTGTATTCACCACTCATCAGACCGTCAGGGATACCGTTATTTTTTATTTTCAAACGCGTAAACAAATCGATGAAAAAGTGGGCCCTGTGCTATGTACGGCCAGAGTTGTTTATTGGAACCACCGATGCCATAACTGCTGGCATCAGCACTGACCATTGTTGGCTTTGTTGGGTCGTAGTATGCAAGCGACTTGGGGCTGTAGTGAGCAAAGTCTTGAGTTGTCGAAACGCGGTGCGTTGTGCTGGGCCACAAGTCCATTGACTTTTGTGTCGCCTTTCATCAGGTCGTTGAACGGTGCTGCCACGGAGGCTGCATGGAGTATGAAGCGAGAAAGCCAATAGACCAGCCCCATCAAACGTTTGACTTCCTCCTTCGTTTAAGGTGGTGACATCTGCAGGATCACGTCTACTTTTACAGGGTCAGGGAGAATTCCGTCCTTGCCAAATCGATGAACAAGGAAATTCACCTGCTCTTGTGCGATTTTGCACTTGTCCTTAGCAGATCACTCATGATTCTCTGCCATGGTACAGCTCAGTTGCTGACGTACGTTATGCCAACGGAAAATGACTGAAGCAGAACCTGCTAAACGGCGCGATGAATGTGGTTAGCTTTTGGCTGTCACGGTGGAGTGCAATTTGCCAAAACCCATGCTTGGCATCAAGGATTGAGAACACTGGGCACCGGCAATTTTCTTCCAAGGTAGATTGGTGAATTACTCGCTGGCCCACCCTTTTGTTCAGCATTTGCAGGTCCACGCAGATCCTGATGTTCTCAATTTTTTTCGTGGGAGCGATCACAATCGGGGCGCACCGATCAGTAGGCTCTGTGATGTGCGACATGATTCCTTTTTTTCATGTTTGTGCAATTCAATCTTTAGTTTTGGGTGCAAGGGCAATGGGATGCGACCAGGGGCATGGGCGCAGTGTGGTGTGGCATTGTCGGTCAGCTTTATCTTCACTGGTGGGCCGTGAGGTGATCCGGTTCCCTCGCAAACATTTCTGTCATTGATCAAAGTGTATACACGTTGCACCGTGTTCAGGGACACACAGGCATCTTTGCATAAAACTGTCACACCATCATCAAAAATAAGGAAAGTCAGTAAGGCCTACATGGTACCGCTACTTGCCCTTGACTGCACAGGATAGGCTCTTCTTTCCTCTCTGTTTGACTTTCCCGCCAAAGAAACTACACAAACGGGCTGTAGTCCTGTGCTGGAATTTACTACCTTACGGAGACATGCACACAATAGGGAACAAAAGATTGTATACGTCTCCACAAGAACATTTCTATAGTAGAATACGTCTCCACAAGAATTTCACGAAATAGATATATGGATTTTACTCAAAAACTAGGAATTTCCAAGGTAGGTTGATTAGTCGCAAATGGAAGAGTTTTAGAAAAGGGATATTTAGTCCAAATTTCGGCCCAGGAAATTAATTCTGGTTAAAATAAGAGCATTTTGAAACTTCAATTTCAAACTCGAAAACTTTACTACACGAGAACAAAGAAATGTCTCCACAGGAATACAAATTCCAGAATGTCTGAACTGCAAGATCGGGTTACGAAGCTTCAGGGAGCGGTAAACGTGTCATGGCAGCATGTTTACCACTGACAGTGTCAAGCATGAAGTTGATATAGTTTTGTCCTTAACGCTGGTCTTGCGCCGTGAGGTGTGTCACAGCTGCTGCCTGGATACTGTTGCTAGATTCATGTGGTGCACTCACACCTCACAGCTCGCATTTGTTTACGCTTGGATCAGCAAACTTTACTTAAATGTCATGTTGACAGATTTGCCCTGCTGACCTTCTGCAGCAGGGTATGATGAATGACTTGGGTCGTACCCGCAATTGGGACACCTGGCCTTTCGGGTGTAATTGGGCTTGGTGGAGTGAGTGTTGGGCGTATTCTGTCGTGGTCTATGTTGCACTGCTTGAACAGCTGCTGTGTTGCGTGCTCATTTTATTTCGCGGAGATGTTTGGTGGCTGTCTCTATATAGTTTTCTTAACATGCAGGGCTTTTTGAGAGTGAGGCTGTCCTTCGTCAGAAAATGTTTCTGAAGGTACTCACTACGGAGACCACAAATCAGGCGATCACGCAAAGCGTCGTTCAGAAATGACCCAAATTGACAGGGGCTGGCCAAGTTTTGTATTGCAACAGCATACAGAGCGATGGACTCATCGGTGTGTTCAAATCAAACACATTTCCTATTCATGACAGCAACGGAAAATAAAACAAGTGTTGAACTAGATATAAAGAAAACCTTGAAAGGCTTGTATCAGGCATGCAATTACACAAAAATAGACGAATTATTACAGAAAAACAATTACACACATGTATACTTCTTAGCAGTAAACAAAGTTATGAAAAATAGTAATAATAATGGCCGGGCTACGAGTAAGATCGCCATACAAAGTCAAAGGACAGAGATTCTCGCACAGATAGAGCACCCTCGCACAGAACACCCTCACTGACAGGCCTTAATTAATTCCCTCTGTGTCATGGAAGAAATGTTCAATCGCTTAATTTAAGTGACAAAATCTGCCCACAAGGCTCTCTTTGCAAACTCTGTAATCGTCCTGTCCTTTTTGAGGCATCCACTTACTAAAAAATGACTAGGAATCTTTGAGGGCAAGTGCTATTAAAAAAAATGCACACTGTCTTTATTCGTTACTTTAGTCGGAAACTTTAAACAAAACTTACTCCGGGTAGGTGCGTAACGAGCATAGTCATGGCAACGAGATATGCTCTTTTTGCCAGTTGACCCACTAGGTCTAAAGTTCATTAACAAACCTGCTGGCAATGATGAATTGCTTGAGCATGAAATCCAGGGTTGGGCGCCGTGTATATTCACTTTAGTATATGGTACGTGTTTGTACAGTGACTAGGCAATAACAGTGTCGTGTGAGTACTCCACGATCACACACGTAGATACGCACCATTCATTTTTATTCCAACGAAGGGCACAAATGGCAGGCACTGCGAAATTCTATTACGTCTGGAACTTCTTTGAGAAGATCACTCCAGCAGGATTCTTGGGGAATTGGTTAGCAACAGGCAACTATGTGAGGAACAACAAGGACTTCATCGTAACTCAACTCCATCGCAACTTGAACCCTGATGGTGAGATTAGTATGTTCAATCTGGCCATAATCATATCTGTATATATGAAACTTATAGCGTGCATCCACTGCTCCCCTGGATTAGCTACAACAAAGATAACACGGTCAAAGCTGACAAAATCGAGCACCGTTTTGTTCCAACAAAATGATGTACATTTTTAACGGAATATCGTATTAATTGGGGCTGAAGTACGGAAGCTTGAATTGCCTTCCGCGATACCGCGTTAACGTGATAATTTATCACAGAAATCCGGAATTCAAAGATAAATCCTTCCTCGATACTGCGTTACCGTGATAATTTATCGCAGAAATCCGGAATTCAAAGATAAATCCTTCCCCGATACCACGTTACCGTGATATTTTATCACAGAAATCCGGAATTCAAAGATAAATCCTTCCTCGATACCGCGTTACTGTGATAATGTATCACAGCAATCCAGAATTCAAAGATACGTATTCCTCGATACCGCGTTACCGTGATAATTTATCACAGAAATCCTGAATTCAGAGATAATTCCTTCCTTGATACCGCGTTACCGCGATAACTTATCACAGACATCCGGAATTCAAAGATAATCCCTTCCTCGATACCGCGTTACCGTGATAATTTATCGCAGAAATCCGGAATTCAGAGATACCTATTCCTCGATACCGCGTTACCATGATAACTTATCGCAGAAATCCGGAATTCAAAGACAAATCGGTAACGAGGAAGGAATTATCTTGGAATTCCGGATTTCTGTGATAAATTATCGCAGTAACGCGGTATCGCGGAAGGAATTATCTTTGAATTCCGGATTTCTGTGATAAGTTATCGCGGTAACGCGGTATCAAGGAAAGAATTATCTCTGAATTCAGGATTTCTGTGATAAATTATCACGGTAACGCGGTATCGAGGAATACGTATCTTTGAATTCAGGATTTCTGTGATAAATTATCACGGTAACGCGGTATCGAGGAATACGTATCTTTGAATTCCGGATTTCTGTGATAAATTATCACAGTAACGCGGTATCGAGGAAGGATTTATCTTTGAATTCCGGATTTCTGCGATAAATTATCTCAGTAACGCGGTATCGAGGAAGGATTTATCTTTGAATTCCGGATTTCTGTGATAAATTATCACGGTAATGCGGTATCGCGGAAGGCAATTCAAGCTTCCGTACTGAAGGGATTATGAAAGAATACATTTTAGGCTTTTTGAGATTGACTTCGAAGAGCCCTCTGACTTTTTACCCATCTTTCAGCTGAGGACTGTTCCACTCGAAATTAGGTTAGAATTTGCACGCTGAACAGTGACCGATAAATGGCGCGAGATTGTTGTAATGCCGGGGAGGCTAGCATGTAACAGAAAAGAAGAATTTATTATTACCGTGGAGTTATTAACTATTCGCTCCTTTTATAAGGTTTTTTTTTTTTTTTTAAATAGGAAACACCTGTTCCGTGACACGCAGATAAATATCGAGTCTTAGTTCTCCCCTAATACATTTAATGGAGCGATCAATATCGGCCTTTATGTTTACCAACCTTGGCCCCGTGTTATTGTACTTTTGCGGTATATGCAAGGTCAATATCGGTGCAATCGAGTGTGCATGGCTGTTAATTGGCTTGCACACAGAGCTAAATTTGTGCGTTTAATTGGGTCAAAGTTGTACATTGTAGGTCTATTTACAATTGCAGAATCACTAGATGGCTTAATTTAGCACGTACGGCTAAACCTGCACTAAAACACCCAAACGTTAATTTGTCGTATCACACCAACCCTAGTGGTGAATAATTATATATACATGTATGAAGCATTTCATTGAACTAAGGTCAACGATGGACCCTAAAATAATTGGTAACATCCGGCAAGCATCCACTCAAATAGGTCGTTCTATATATACTGGACGACCAGCAACAAGACTGTAATGGGGGGGGGGGGGGGGGGAGGCGACAGAAACACGACAATTAACAACGTTACGTGTCTCACTTTCTTCATGCACAGTGGTAAAGACCCAGACATTTCACCCGATTTTTTTTCCCGAGTTTTTGTTAGTGCTTTTACCTGACATGTCTAAAGAGATGGTTAAAATCTCAAAACAAGTTATTTTGAGGTTTAATTCACTAATTTCACTTCGAAATTAACATTTTATTACCCAGCATCAATATTCAGCAATGACAGATATACATTTGGCTACATGAAATTTAAGGGGTTGCTGTGTCCAGGATCTTGATTTGTTGTTTTCTGTAAACTATTTTTTTCTGAAGTCACTTGATCACTCTTTCATTTGATATATAATTTATATCGATACCTATAGCAAAAGGTCAGTAAAATGAGCGTAGACATAAAGAATAAATCGCTATTTTAAGAAAAATATTAACAAACCAAAACGTTACACATTTTTTCAATCGGCCACCAACGGCCAGGGTATTTTGCACTTCTTCTTCATAAATTGTTAGACAGACTATCTGGCTACAAAAATAAAATAGCCCCAAAATCCCCCAAAACAGCCTTCATTCTGAAAAATCGATCATTGTCGCCGGCCTGGTGATCGGAATGCAGCGACTGAGCAAGAAAAACAGCGCCCTCTGTTGACAAGCCATGAAGAGGGGAATTCCCTTTCCGATCCGATTGCTATTAAGCGTCCTTGGCATGACATAAAGGTGGAAATTTCGCACAGGCAGGTTTTTTGTAGGGTTTCGATGTCATGTAAGGCAGCTAATATCCGAATCCTTCTTGTAAAGATTGAAAAGAAAATATTATTTTCGTAAACTAACTGTACGTGTCAGACAGTTAACTAATTTTATTCCAAAAGTCATGTACCACTTTGGACTGTACATATAATTGTAACACAATTTATTTGAGAATAGGCCCTTTCTATTTCATTATGGAATGGGGGAAAGCTTTCAGTATGATTCTGTATGACTTTTACTTACAGCAAAACCTGGCCTGTCCTTTAAGTGTAAAGGTCTTTCATCTCAATTTTACGGTTTTTTGCTCCTTTTTTTTTTTAAACAAACTGCCCGAGGCTACAAAACGTGGATTTCCTTTTAAGACATATCTCAAAGTAAAACGTGGACACCGGGCTACTACTACTAACTTCACTAATGTTGTCTGGGAAACTATTATTGATAATCCGGACCCAAATACACTGAGAAAATCCTACTTAAAATCAAATTATTAAACAGTGAATGGAAGCAAATACAAAACACGGCAAAGTGACAAGTAAGAAAGGTGTGATTGGATGAGTTTCTCGGTCTATGAAACATTTTTTTGTCAGGTAAATTTTGTGCAACAGATTATCTTCCTTATCCCAGCATAAAGCTTATAAAGTAAGTTACACAGTACTTTTGGTTTTTTTTCTTTCTAGAAAATAATACTTCTAGAATTTACATATTTTGTGATATTCCTAGTCTGTTCTCTCTTCCCCAAAACCAAAAAAAAAAAAAAAAAAAAAACCACACGAGGATCGATTTTATTTCCCAAATTTCGAGGGAAAAAAAAATTAAAAGTACTTTCATTCCTTCGGAAATAAGCATTCTCCAGTATATGTATAAGTAGTTATTGCTTAATTTGGGTAGACTGAATAAAAACATGGGTTAGTCTTACTTGCAATCTCACAAAATAGTACCATGAACGTACGTCGTCCTAGATCCGCGAAGTTTCGAACTGAAGAAAATAGTTAGCACACTGTACAATATTGCTCAACAGAGGGCGCTACTCATCAACGGCGAGTAAAACTCCCAAATAGCAAGATCTGCGTTGTTTTGACAAAGATGCACGGACTAATGAATTTAGAACAGATTTTACATGGTAAATGATCGCATTTGAATTCGTTTTCAATAATATTTTTGATAAAAATTCAAGAAAATTGATGACGTCTGGGTCATATATGGTTTTAAACCACTGTGTCATTGACAGAGATCGCGTGCACATCGCGGGCGAGTTTGCTCTTACCTTACGCCAACAGGGCTCTAGCCAGGGCAAATTTCTTCTGGATGTATGACGATATTTATTCTATAAGGCCAAAAAAAATACCCGGTCTTTGGTCAGCGCGCGCGTCTATTTTAATCATGCGCGTCAACCTTTTTTTTCCTTCAAATTAACGCGGAAGCTACAGGACTAGGAGCTAGCCCTTTCCCAGCGCCCTGTACCGTTTGGGCGGTGGCGGGTTAACGCGGGCGAACAGCTTATATTTAGTGTGTACATGTACATGTATAGTGTACATGTACATATACATACAAATACAAAAACCTGTACCGTGTATGTACGTGGATGATTCCATTAATGTGGGGCCAATGAATTTGGTGTCCCACTTTACATTGTGATAGTTGTTTTTCTAATATTACCAACAGTGAAATATATATATATACAAACGATTTTAGTTGCACAAATTATAGTACTTGTACCTAAATGTCTGGTAGCAAAGGATGAAACACCTAACTAATGTCCTAATCAGTTCACGGTTTCAGGTGTAAAAGGGACTACAAAGCTGTGACATTTTAAAAACTGCTGGTGAAGTGTATTGTTTGGTTCTTATATGTAATCAAATACTACCATGTGCACATATGTGTAATTGCCCTTAACTATGTAAAAGCAACTTAATACTGCTTATAAATTCACGTGCCAGCGGCCCGACCACGTTGTAGCCGCTTCCTTCGCAATTCAGCATACCAGCTGTGAGTAAGGATGATTAGCCTCCCAAATTACTATTATTATATTTATTTATATTTCAATAATTTAATAACTAGTTGAGCGAGATTCACAGTGCGTTAATAGCCCAAATGTCTCACGTGTAAACAAGACCCACTTTTTGGTGTCCCTTTTACACGGCAAATTTGTGTAATGTTTCTGGGGAATAAAACGATTATTGGGTTCACTAGCATATCCAAATGTATCACCATTAATTACATGTCCAACTTGATAAGTGTGAAATCATAACAAAGATTGCATCCTTTGAATTTTTTTAATTTAGGCTATTTACTCGGTTTCACGTGTAAATGGGACACCAAAATTAATGGTGTCCTCAATACGCAATCATGCACATAATTGTTATTTTGTTTTAGTTTAATCAAGATATTTTCACAGTAATTATTAATTGATGTGTTATTCTGGGTAAGACAAAAAAATACATTTTAAAATAAACACACCACATTGAGCATAAATTATCACAAAAATATCAGAAAATTTATTTGGTGTTCCAGTTATACGTGAAACCGTGAATGAGTTTTGACATGGTATTTTGGCATATCTGGAGTAAATAATGTCGGAATGTGGCTACAATTAATTAGAAATGTCAATACCTTTAAGTTATGCTGAAAATTATTAATGAATCCCCTGTCAATATTTTTTTCCTATATTGGGTCAAAATGTCGCAGGTTGGCAACCTCTGGAATAACCCACGTATACGTTCAATGCTACTACACGGCAAGTGCATTTCCACACGTCGTGCACAGAATATCGAATTATGCATGATACAAGGAAGCGAAAACATATTCTTTTCTATAATTTTCTTTTGGATGGTGGATAGACTGATGTTCACATCTGGGATACAACAAAAGCTTAAGAAACGTTTCTTTGTAGAAATGAGAAGGTGTTTTGAAACATTTCATTTAAAAAAAAGGATATCTCTTTTATCACGATTTTGCACACCCCTTTTTCAAAAGTGAAAGAGACACGCAGACCATCGAGCGCACTCGTCTCAGAGGACATTTTGGCGTTTCAAATTATCTTTAACTTATTTGAAATATTTATAAGATGTTTTATAATTTACTTTTACATCAGGGTTTCCTTTCCTTTTTTTGATACACTCTGTATTTCAAAATCTAAAAAAAAGTAATGCGGCCTGACGCTTAGTTTGCAACGTCAGGCTGCATTAACTTTTTAGATTTGTATAATTGAGGTCAATCCAGTTAAAAAGCAGTTTGCAGCAGTCCTATTCATTTTCATTTTAATATTTCAAAACGTTCAACTTCAATGCTCGTTAGTATAGATTTTCCTGGCCAATTTCCTAAAATGTTCATTCACTTCTGAAAATTGGTCATTCCTTTTCGACTGAATTTGAGAATCGCTCTGCACCCTCGTTTCCTTTTCGCTACCAGAGCATTGAGCAGCACCTTTCGTTTATGTCCATTCAGATCCGTTAACAAGACTTCATTTTCGATTTTAGAGGGCGATTTCAAACATTCACCATTCTATTTCACTTTTAGTTGAATGCCATCGGCACCAAATACAATAAGGGGTTCCTTTTTCATTAACCGTCAATCAAATTAGCTGTACCTGAAATCAATTTAGGAAAGGTATGCTTGCGTAAATGAATGCACAGATAACGTAATTGGCCGTCTGTTTCTCAAAACCGAATGCACGGACAATGAAGACGATTGAACTTTCGTTGAATTGAAATGGGATTCAGGACGTGCATTCAAATTCAGACGAAAATGAATGATCAATTTTCAGAAGTGAATGAACATTTCAGGAAATTGGCCGGGAAAAAATAATTTATGACGGCCGGTGACGACATTTTAAGCTGATATTATATAACACCAGATAATGACATCATGTCACATATCGTCACCCTTTGATTAAATCTGAGGCTTTGAACATCTTCGATGGCACCGCCAGATCTCCGTATACCAAAATTACGGAACAGCGCCCAAAGCGTGACATTATATTCACCACCTTCACTCATGGTGTGTGCTTTGCCCCCAACCGAACAAAATCCAGGCGACGTTCATGCAGCTTTATCATACGATAACTTCTGTATCTTTTAGTCAATTTACCTGGGTGCTTTGTTCATCTTAACATTACAGGTACCTTCAAGTACGTGAACTTTGCTGCTTTCGACGGACTAGATTTTGAGCTTTTTAAGGGCGAACCATCGGAAACTTGGAAACGATTGATGAAGGAAACAACATCAATTCACGTGAACTACCCAGGTAAAACTTCAGACATGGTTCGGATCAGATCTTAACAGTAAAGATTGTCTTTAACTTGAGATATAGTCAGTTAACAAAATTAGCTTATCGACATTAAAAAAATACCATTGACCCGCGCTTAAAACCCGGGCTTTTCCAATTGTAAAGACCCCCTAAGTTTCAAATTCACGTTGACAGATCATTGTGGGAATAATCAATCATAGATTATTGAAAAAAAAAAATCACAGATAATCACAGACAACCAAAAATAGTCGCATGCATTGAACAGCAATCGCGTCAGATAAGCCTACCTTTCGATGAGATGATTCCATAATTTCGGTGAAGGTCTGATAAACTTAGGCTGTTAGCCTTTATATTATTGGACTGATTGGCAAGCAGTTAATTATCATAACTTTGGAAGAAGGATGCAAAGAGAGGGTATGCTGTGAGTGTGATGGTCTGATGGAAAATGATACCCATACACATTTTATGATGTATAGCCCTATAGTAGTAGACGAAGATGGCAGTAGTTACCACAAACAGGTCCTTTCTTTCAATTCGTTTCTGACAGGTGGCTTCACTGAAGTGGCAACAAATACTGGGAAGCCATTAGGTCCCTGGCTGCCGAATGATGACAAGGGCATCTTCTTCGTAATATCATTCAAGGTTAGTTTACCCGTACCCCATTTTTATCTTTAAATAACACACAAGGGCATGACCAATGTAGCAAATGGCATCTCATGTCAAATGTCTTTGCTCCATATTCTCATGATGCATGTTTGATCTTTGTGACATTTCAGAATTAGTTATCTCCTTATTGTGACCATACAACTGCCAAATATTGCCTAGATGCATAACTATAACGGTATTGGTGAAACATTTTGTCTAGGCCGCGGATGAAAACGATGCCAAGCTTCAGGAAACCTTCGAGAAGGACTGGATGGAATCTTCGGGCGCTAACTTCATCCTTCAGAAAGCTCCCAAAGATCTCGGTATCTCTCACTTGGGTCTATACAAGAAGTTCACTAAGCGCCCTGGATTGCTGTACGTCCTCCGTGCGGAACTGAAAGGTGTAGGAGAGGATTCGGAGGCTGCAAGGAGCTTCCTGAGTCAGTTGAAGGCCTTCAAGTTTCCCGATTACTTCGAGCGTGTGGATACCGATCTGTACAGGGATGACCCCGAAAATATACTCTTCCCTCACGCAGGAAAGAAAGATCTCCCTGAAGGACATAGTTATAAGCCTTAGAATCCCATAAAGGATCTAGTTGAAAAAACAAAATTCAGAACATCTCCTCAAACATCTAAGGAAGTGATTTTGACATCGCATGACAGGCATTCCCATTTTTTTTTGTTTTAATATAGGTTTTCCCGGACAATTTCGGAAAATGTGTACACGAATTTGTAAAAGAAGCATTTGTTTTTGTGCGAAATAGAATGAACGTTCCAAATCTCTGTTTCTATTTAACAAATGATAATTCTTTTTCCGTGAAAGTGCATTCAGTCGTAAAAAATCAGCGTACGATTTCCCGAATGTGCACTGCATTTAGTGTTATTGACATTTCATTTTAGCGCGAAATCGGAGGCACATCCGCAATCCTGTTTTCCTTTTAATTTATCATCAATCTTTTTCGCTAAATGTGCAGCCGATTTCCCTCGCAGTGTTATTTAACGTATGCCTGGTCAAGCATTGGAATTCACTTATGTGTTAAAGTAACAGTTGAGGAATGGTTGATTGAATGATTGAATTTTTGAATATTCAAAAAGTCCCCATGCAGATCCCATGTAACATGACACGTGATGTGTCCCTTTACCGTCTCAATAATATGGCTACAAGATTATTTTGAGTGATTTCATATTGGTCATATTAAATATCATTTTCACATTTCATTTGCCTACATTTCACATAGGCGCGTATATAAGAACAAACACATTAATGATCAATAAGGCATACATTGATTAATTAATGAATCATTAATTAATAAATCAAAGTTGTATCATGATTTGTATAGGCCTAAATAATTTATTTAAATTGAATGCCGAAGATGCGAATTTAAATTGTTACAAATGAAAAGGAATGTTCAATTCAGCCTGTGTCACAATAGACAATCGATTTTCTGCGAATTGGATTGCACATTCGTAATAATCGGCAACGCATACGCCAAACCGACAATCTAATCACGTATTTGTAATCCCTTAAATGAAACGTTATGCACATTCGTTCATTTGATTGATGCAAAATGACATCGAATGCTAGTTATTGCGAAAATGAAACCAGGATGTACGTCGTTCTCAAATTCGGCGCCAAATTGAATTTATGTTTTACAAATTCAAACGCACATTTTCCGAAATTGTCCGGGAAAACCTATAGTTGTAGATGCAAATCTGTCTGTCTACCATAATTATTAACTTTTCAGTGTTTGATACTGTCGTGTTTTCATTTCTTAACTCCAGTCAAAAATGAATCAAAAAATTAGTTGAATTTTGCGGAAATCTGTTCAGTAAAAAAGAAAAAAGCCCCTTTTCATAGTTAAAGCCCCTGTTTGACAAGTAAAAGTAAAATGAGTAAAAAGAATTTGTTTTGTTCTTGACAAAACTTCATCGTCAGTTCTTTTTTTTCTTTATAGTTTAGATTTTTGTTTTTGAGTCACCGCTTTAGATTGTTGTTTGACTATGTAGATGCAAAAAAATATTTTTTTCAAGTGGAAAGTCCGTTTCCTGTTTCCGTAAAACGGCTACTTTCTTCGTTCGAATGAGATTACTCTTGACAAAGTACAAAATAATTTTACAATTTCTGAAAAACTCCATTAACAACACACATATATTTTTTTCACAGATATAGTACCTCTTGAGATCTGTTTTAAGCTACAAAGACAAAGATTGAAGGACGTTTGTCGTTCGTTACCATTTTATAAATTTGAAATCGAGATATTAAAGAATAAGATTATGAAATTTAAACCTAGTATCGGTAGCACCAAACGAATAGCTCATTGGCGAGACCATTATTAGTATAGTCATGTCCTTGATCCAATCTACAAGTATAAAATTGATTTCCAGAAATAAATAATATAATGGCAATTACAAAAAAGTGAAGAGATGTTTCTTCTTCGTCCTTTAATACAGAGAGTACAAAAAAAATCTATAAAAATTTGAACCCAACTTGTTGAAGTTAGAATATAGGCCAACATGCTTTTTTAAAATAAAACAATTCTTTTCCGAACGAAATTTGAAAAAAAATAAAATGCCCTGAAACAAATAAATTCGTTTGTTTGCATTTGCAGGCCTTTATACAGTTTTAAAGAGTGGTTTTACACAGTGCACTCCATTCAGACATATTTTTGAACAAAACGCTGTAAATGTTCAAATCAAAACGCTGTAAATGTTCATATCTAGTGACGTAGCCATGTATTCATTTTGGAATCATGCGTTATATATTAGCCTGGCACTCTGTATCGATTTAGTCTGGTGCCCTGACCCCATTGTTCTTTTGACTTCAAAAGGTCCAGAAATGTTTTAACGATCAGTCCCAATCATAGCCGCAAGACCTCTTATTCAATATTTCCTGTGGGATCACAAAATTTCAATGAGCCCGCGCGCAGGAATTTATGGATTTTTAGTGGTCTGCATGCACCCTTTTATGTACGATCTTGCTGCGCCATGTTGGTTACAACCTTGTACGTCTTGCGGGATCTTAATCTCTGGTCAACCTTGTCCCCAGGGTGTCGAGCAGTACGCGTCCACCACTACCTGCTTTCTCACCCTGGTATTGGATCATTTGCATGTGCAAAATTTTTGAACACGTATGCAAATAAGGAATCGTCTGGTGCCTGCATGTGCGTTACATTTGCGTTTGTGTATATATGCAGTGTCTGGGGTAGAAACAGCATCAATTCGTCGCGCCGTGAGTTATGTAAACACGATTTTTTTTGGAGGTTAAAATGTTACAATCTGACCCGCCAATATGCAGCATCACATTTCATATTAATATGAGCAAACTGGAAAGGAAGTGCGCAGCCCATGGAGTTGTGGTTGATTGAACGGCAACCTCGTCCCCAGGGGGTCGAGTTGTACGCACCCACCACTACCTGCTCTCTCACCCTGGTATTGGGTCATTTGCGGGCGTTTTCGAAGCCCTGTTCTTGACAACACTCGGGTTAACCCGACACGAGAACAGCGGTCTCGAACGTGACGAACAGACCCGAGAGGGCGTTCGCGGATCGATTTTTTTCACTCCCCGGTTGATGGAGGGTTCGGCGAGGTGCAGCTTGAACAAAATGGCGGACTGTGCAGATTCGTATTTTTGTTTTGTGTTTTTTTTTGTGTGCTAATACCCTAATGATTGGAATAAGAATACCATTATAGTGCAGGTCTGCAATTTCATCCCCGCATGTCCGGTTTGGCAACAGTCGTCTTCGTTCATTTGGAATAGGCCTAAGTACAAATTCAGACGATTGTCGGCCATTTTGCATTGCTTTATATCGATGCGACACGCACCCGCGCGTTCGTAACAACCAGCTCGAGAACACGTTCTCGTGTTACACGCGTGTTGTCAAGAACAGGGATTCGAAAACGCCCCGCATGTGCAAGATTTTTGAACACGTATGCAAATGAGGAATTGTCTGGTGCCTGCCTGTGCGTTACATTTGCATTTGTTTTTGTATGAGATGTCTGGGGTAAAAACAGAATCAATTCGTCGCAGCGCGAGCATGGCATGAGTTGCGAAAATACGATTTTATTTTAATTAAACGGTTACGATCTTAACGAGACAACATGCAGTATCACATTTCATATTAATATGAACAAGTCTTGGACGAATGATCGCGAAAACACGTACTGCACGTTGTGAATAATAACACCAAGTACACGATATAAATCAATTCCTAGCCAATTGCGGTATCGAATCAGGATACAGGAAGAAAGTTTCCTATCAGGGCTTACTATTGGAAACGAGGTTGGAAATAAAGTAAGCACTGGGGACGAGGTTGATTGAACGGCCCTCCCAACCGGCCCTCTCTTTTCAACCGGTGAGGGGGTACTTCTGCACAAGGCGGATAACACGCTTGAAACCAATTATGAACAAGTCGACCAACATTTTTTCCCGAGACCATCTGCGCCAATTACACACGTAATTCGGTCCCCAGCGTCCAACTGTTTACCGCTAGCTTGTTATTACGCGCATGGATATGTCAGCATACCACGCTCATGTTTCATTGGCACAAACCATCCGCCTGATCACTGCTGATGAAGCCTGGCCTACGTTCTGGCAGCAGTAACAAATCTCATCTAACAGACACATTCCAGGCATGACGTACGGAGAGTAATCCTCCAGATAACATGAGGCTGAGAGAGGCAGAGAAGTCAGTGGTTCATCTCACTCTCTCTCGGCGTGTTTGTGCATCGTTCAAGGGGCACACTGATGAGGACTTCAGTGTGGTTCGTCTGAAGCGCAACAATCGCTCATAAGTAAGAACTGTAGAGGTAAGTTACTCCGTGCTTTCAGAATATAAAATTGAAGAAGACCGGGTTTGCCTATATATCGCCGAGCTGGACCCGAACGTTTCAGTTTATTGTCAGTCAGCCAGGCAGTCTTGTCACTCAATCAGAGGACAATACGCTGGCCTATTGGATCAAGTAGAAACTTAATTTTGCCACAACGGCCTAGTTTCGCTATAATATTCATGTTGTATAAATATCGAATAAAATGAGGATTTGTTTTGCCCTCGAGAAAGCTATTATGGTCGGAACGCAAAAAAAACCGAGAATGAGTGAACGAATATCCTTCATTATCAGACCTTCGGGTTTGCAGACTTGTTTTGATTTTTGTTGAACCAAACAGGCGCGTTGCTCAAGCTTTGGAGAAAAAGCCATACAGAAAGCGCTATTGCCCTAAAGATTCCAAATTGTATCCTTTAAATCAGTATCTACAAGCGTAAGATTTAAGCGATGATTCAAACTACGCATCTGGGTCTTAAAAACAACGTCTGTGGCAGAATTTCAAACGGATCTGCTCCAGTCATGGGGGGGGGGGCCAAAAACATGAGTTTATAGGCCTATAGGCCGACCCGAAACATAATGCACCCGAACATTTATTTGATTTCTAACATAAACCTGTCCCTATCCAGATACACTTTTCCCTTTGATTTGTCTTAATGTTGTCATTTTATGACTTGCGGAAAATATACGTTTATTAATGGTACACATACATTTATAGATATTTATTTTCTTCGAATATAACCTGAAACACTGTGGGGGGGGGGGGGGGGGGAGGGGGGAATAATATGATAACATAAACGTTCTGTATATTTCTGTATACGGCGGAACAAATTCAACAAAAGTGTATAATGATCTTCTGTTTCTTTAATTAACGCGGAAATTACGTTCTCTATTGGATTTTTTATGTTCTGAATTT